CTGTGTGACATTTTATGGGCCAAACAATCAGTCACTAATGAAAAAAATATTTAGCTGCAGCAAAAGAACCCCACAAAAATAAAGAAAAAATCTGCTATTTTAGTTTGGTTTGCAACTATTCATGCACCTATCGCTGTTAAAAAGCGGAAAAAATGAGGCCTAATTGAGGTTTGACGCCAGAAAGTCATCACTTTCACATCCCACAGTATCTGCTGCTAATCGTTGCAGCAGGTATTTGCTGATCTCTCCAAGTGGCCATTGGCGCTCCAGTGGTTTCCTCCCTAATACCCGCTCCTCTCATCATCTGCAGAGTAGAGTCACTATTTTGTGTCCCGGATAAAAGGCGAGAGTCTTGTGAATCACTTACCGTCACATCAAATGGGAAATCCGCAGATGATTCACAGAGATGAGTGACTTTGAGAAACTGACTTTGTAACGGTCCTCTCCGGTCTGCTCTGTGCCCTCAACCCACTCGATCACTTACTCCAGAAGTGAAATTAAAATAAAGCAGAAAACGGATCGCGTAGCTGCAGAACAGATAAAAGAGCAAATGAAAAGGAAAAGGCTTTACTGAGCAGGCCTGGAAGATTTCACACACGTTCCATCAACTGACCATCTATTTCCAATGTGTGGATTTTGACTTCACGTTTGCTCTCATACTCGAGGCTTTGTGAAGACGTGTGCATGTCATTACAGGGCCCTGCAAGTGGAAACTCTGCGCTTTGATATTCCTTCTTGCAGGCAAAAAAAAAAAAGAAGTCTTGCTTCTCTCTATTCCCTTCGCACAAACGTTTTCCATTGTGGCATGTTGTCTTCATTTACCGGACTGAAGAATCAGTCAATCCTTGAGTTATTTGCTTAAGCTGTTCTGCCAGAGTAATGTTTTTTATGCCTGGGTCAGGGAACTTTTTTCAATGTGTCATAGAGGGTTATGATAATTACCCATTTTCCATTTCGACAGTAGACATGTTTATCGTACTGAATGTCCATCTGCCTATTTCACTTCTGTTTTGCATTATGGAAATCTTTTCAATATGCCTCCTTTGACATGCACTTTAGAAATGAAGACGTGCGAGCATCCAATCACAGTGGTCTCCTGCTGGATGTGAAACCTTCTTTTGGGGAAATTAAAAAAGTCCCTGACACCGCTTTATGCACCATATGCAGATTTGACAGTTAATTTATTTTTTACTTTTATCTTTTACTCTTAACTTTTCAAAATCTGACATTTTGTCCCCACATTTTTCCCAGTGTGTGTTGCGTTATGTGTTTGTTTTTCAGAACCCTCGTGCTTGTTCCTGACTCCTACTGATGCCTACTGCAGTCAGTAGTGTTGTTTGACTCAACAAATGACTGAAACCAGCCTAGATCACAGTTATGTTTGCTCTGAACTAGAAAACAAAGGTTCCACTCTGCTTATGAAGTTGTACAGATGACACACTGTTACCCTCACCCCTAGAGAAAATGTTGCATTATATGAAGAGACGTGGTGCTAAAGATTAGGATAAACATTTTTAGGATAAAATGTGTCTGCAAGGTGATTGAAAGCTGCCTCACTTCTAAACAAATACCTCTAATCATGCAACACAGATAACTAACGAGACAGTAGCATCACGTTAATGTAGGTGCTGCTCAAACTATTTTATTTTGGAGATGAAGTAAAATGAATAAATCACTTGTTTACATATTTCTTTACATTTTTTAAATTTTAATCAGTTAAAGTTTTAAATACAAGGATTGAAAGTATCAGCTCTCGGGTGCGAGTAATCTGGCACAAGCCTCGTAGTAAACGGCTCCTAGCAGCAGTACATGCAGTCGTAGTGACTGCAGATGTATATTTTGGCTAGGGAGCCCCCCTCCCAGTCATCTGCAGAGGATCTCCCTCCGGCTGAGACATTCAGAGCCACAGATACTATGACAGGCAGCGCTGAATCACTGGTTTTCTGATGCACTGTCATGATCAATACCAGTAAACCTGAGAAAATACTATCGGCATATGAAACTTGTCACAGACGCGACTCAAACCTCTCTTTCGCTTCTGAATTATTGATGTGTGGAGTTCCAGCTTAAATTGAAGTGCAGCTTTTCTACTGTTCTGTTATGCATGAGAAAACCAACGTTCTATTTTATGTAAAATATTTTGACTTTTTGTTCATTAGCTAAACTGTTTTTATTCTTTGAGTCTTTCCACCACCAGAGATCAACCCGTTTTAGTTTACTGATGTTGTGATGATGATTTTGCGCTGTATATTTTTAGATTTTATTCCACACGCGTGCAGCTTCTGCCACAACACTAATTCTGTTCCGAGTAATTTGTTGACATCCAGCGTGAAGGAAAACAGCAGACGCGAACGGCCAGAGGTCTAGTCACCTCCTTTTCACTCTGCGGTAAGACGCAGATGAAAATTCACTTTCCAAACAAGTCCAACTTTTTGCAAACAGCCCAAAGTCAAATAGTCTAGGTTTACATCGAGCGCAGCTGTAATATCGAGAGCGAAGCTTCACGAAAGTATTTTAGACAGATTGTGTGGGAAAACCTCTTCCTTCACCTCTTTTATGAGAAAAGCGAGTGAATCAGATTGAGAGGAATTAGTCTAAAGTTGCACTTGATCGTTTCGTGGGTTTTCAGGTTGTTTTATGCTAATTGCCCTCAGTTTGTCTCCTCTGAGTTATTTATCAGTTGATAGGTTAATGTTTGCCTCTGCAGCAATCTAATCAGTACAGCGGAAAGTGATATGTTTTTGCAGACGCCCACTTAATGTCGGTCTGTCGCACTTCTCACTATGTTGCTCATATTCCTGTGGTATTAGAGCAGATTCACTCCCATGAATCAACAGAGCTACAGAGTTCACCACATAACGCTTGAGCTGTGCAGGAGGCTTCTGACAGGCCTGTACGCATCGCTCTGATTGTGTCAGTAATTTAACACATCACCCTGCTTAGTTAAGAGCTTTATGACACACTAGTTTCAATTTAACAATGAAGTGTTTTGTTATACCGTTAAGCTATTTTATGCATTCGTTCTGAATTAGAAGTGTCAGAAGTGAAATGTAGAACATTCGCTGAATCTCAGCCCGACCCAGCTCGTAGGTTTTTTTAGTGTTATCAATACGGCTGCTCTGCTGCTCCGACAGTCCTTTAACAGTTGTAAGAGTTTGAGCCCAGCTGAGCCACTTGTCTTTCAAAAGGTCATGGCTTTTAAAGGAGATCTGTAGTTCTCCATCACAGTTTTATTTCACACGTGGAATTGTGTGATAAATCGATAAACTGGCCCACTTGCATGTTATAGCTCAGTGTTGCACTGTATATACAAAGGTAAATGTTTGCTTTGGTAGTCACACGGTAGTCTCACAAGTGCGTGGTGGTGCTGTGAGTGTAACCGTGTGTGTGTGAGCAAGCATGGTTGACATGGGAAAGGAAGAGCCTCCCACGCTAACAGGATGATGTGAGTGATGGTGGCCAGACACAAAAGCAAGCAGCAGAAAACACAAATAATGTACACCACGGCACTAAATTAAAACTGCTGGGCTCGTGACAAAAGGCTCGAACATGAATCGCATATAATTTGGCCTAGAATTCAGTCTACTTTACGGAAGGGGTGATGAAATTGTAAAACAGATATAAAGGTCACACCACACATGTAAAGATTATTATACTTTACTGAATTTATGAGGGTTTGTTTGACTTAATTAATCCAGTTGTGTTGTTTTACAGCATTTGCTGTGTGTTGCAAAATTTAAATTGAGTTTCTTTTTTCTTCTGAAACACAACCGGGCTGGTTTGATTTGCTCATCGTTGACTGAGTCACCCCCTGCCCTCTTTTTTTGTAACTGAGTTACAGTAAAACATTTGCTTATTATGTTCTGGGAAACGTTTGATTTGACAGTACAGTTGCACAAGTGGACAGCGAGCAGCAGAGAAGAGAAAAGGTGTATTTTGACGGTCATGCACAGACAGGTCTGCTTGTAAATATCTCGGTGTCAAACTGGGCCAGAGGTCTCTGCTGCACCCTCCCAAACCAGTTTGCCCAGCCTGATTTGTGCGATCTGTGTTTTTGACCTGTCGTCGACACATTTAAAACAGTTAGGGAAGTCCCAGGACGATAACTGAACGCACACATGTTGTTCCAGTGGAAAAAAGAAACATCACGCGTTTTCATAAATTTCCAACAAATGAAAGTCTTCTCTCTCTGTGTGTCCTCATGTTTTCCCCACCACGTCAAAGTATCTGAAGTTGATTTACTTCACGGCTGCAGTTTTTACTAGCTCCCTGTTGTGTTTCTTGTGGTCCCAGTGTGAGCACTGAATGGAGGCAGCAGATGTAAAACAATCATGCTCGCTGGCTGAAAAACAGGCTGCAGCACAGAGAAAGAGTTATCTGTTATTTATTTAAAATCAGGCTCTAACTGAGTCGGTGGAGTAATTAACCTCGCTGTGCCTGAGTGCCTCTCTGGCCTCAACAGCGTGTTTTTAACAATGGATTGGTTTTACACGGCCCTTTTGCCATGCTTACAAACCCGGTGAACGGGCCTGAGGAAATGCACTGAACCACCATTAAAGCTCTAATGAAGTAATGGACAGCCCCGCTGGTTGGCCAGCTGCACAGGAGTGTGTTTATAGGAGGCAATGTGCTGTGCTAACTGCTAGCATTTCTTGGACTCAAAGAAAGGTGAGAACTGGCACATTCAGTGAATGGAATAGTTTCCCTCATTTGTTATGTCAGGAGTGATTATATCTCACGTCAGAACCATGCCTTTGTGACCTTTGGGTTTGCCAGTCTGTTTGAGTTTTTCCACTTTGAGCTTTTGGCAGCCACAGTTTGATGTTTTAGTCTCTAGAGGAACTCAGTGTGGAGCTACACTGCCCCCTGCTGGGAAACATATGCACATTACCTGAGACAAAGTAATGTAAAATGTGCTCTCACAAAGCAAAAAGAAATAAAATATGTAGTATGTACAAAGTTTAACAGCATTTTTTCCTTCTTTGTGTGTCTCCCCACAGTAAATGAGATCATCGGCAGAGACATGTCCCAGTCCCCACGTGGTCCTCCGTCAGCACACAACCAGTCATAGCTCAGCCCTCGCTCAAGCTCTGACACATGCACCATCCCCTCCAGCTCTCAACCCTGCAAACTCCACAGCTCCAACACGGACCCAGGTGCTGGTCCTGGTGCTGGTCCAGGTGGTAGAAGAGGGCTGAAGAGACAAGACTTGGTGGTCAAAGACAGAAGACAGCTGGTGATTCTGCTAAAGCTACTACGACCACTAGCCTGATGAGAAGACACTTGTTTTGATTTCATTTAAAACTGTGCTGTGTCTCGTCTTTAGAGATGATGGTACAGAACCAACAGCTTCACACAGAGTAAGCAGAAATGTGAGCAGGAGGTAATAGCCATGTCAAGTTAGAGGAAGGCTGACATAGTCGGAGAACAACGAGAAGCAAAACATGCTTTCTCTTCAGCTCTTTGCCATTCAGAGCTGTCTGTAAGTTCTCAGGCCTGAGTTTGCCGCGACCCGTCGCTCTTCATTAGGAGTGTGCCTGACCCTTCAAACGCACCGCTGTCTTCCTGACCAATCAGCTCTCACCTTTGCGAGTCTGGAGCACTCACTTTCAATAGAACAGAGGGTGCTGCCCTCTCACCAGCATCGACCTTCATGAATGAAGACGTCTTGTGACATAAAAGAATAAGAGACACTCAGAAGCGCACAGTGTTGTCACAGGGAGCCAGAGCTGGGTTTCAAACTCATTCAGAAGGATGTTTTTATGGAGTTTCTCAGGCAACATTGTTCAAAAAAATAACATCAGGATGCTAAAATTTCCAGAATGCGACAAAGCAATCTGAGTTCACTGGAGTGAACAGCAGCAAAAGTGTGGCACAATGAGACTCAGTAAAAGTAATAGTTAGCCATCAGATTGGATCACCAAATCAAACGTAACCAGCCCCAATGAGCAGAACGCCCATTTCCAGTAAAAAAAAAAAAAACAAAACAACTTTTTGACGGATTTCAAATTACTCGCTGTCAAACTAAGGAAGTAAACCTTGTGATGGAAAGTGTCCTCTCCTTGTTTTTCCCCTTTTTAAATGATAAACCTCTTCAGGTCTGGAGTGCAGGGGCCCGGCGGGGAGAACGAGCTCCCGTGACGCTGGTCTTGGATCTGCAACCTGCAACATTCCACAACTTTTAGTAACCTTGCAGCCGTGTAGATATCTGTACATTAATTCCCACTCTTTTTCCTCCTTCTGTCTCCTTTGCTCCCCCTCCCTCTCCTGTGTTTCCTCTTCCATTTGAACAAAGGCCTTATTAACATTTAGCAGCTTTGAAAGGTAGCAAAAGCTTTTTTTTGTTGTTGTTTTGCACAGCAGGCTCTACGTTTGACAGGAACGCTTTTTCGGAAACGGACGTGCAAGTCGGGTCACGTGGGTATGATTTCATAAATCCTGACGTGGGGGCGTTTGAAGATATACAAAGATCCCGTTAGGTTTGTGTTACAGAGAAGTGTTTTCATTGGTCCACAGAGACAGAACTCGCTGCCTCTGAAATTTCTATTCATGCAATAACTCCCCAAATCTCACAGGGGGCCTCTGTGTGCCTTCTATGTCCTAAGAGCCACCATACTAACAGTGGTATGGCAGCCTGGATGGCATGTAATGCGTAATAATCTGACAACAGCTTTGAAAGTATTTTATACATAAAGATGTCTATATATTACATTTATGTATTGTGTCCCCTTCTATAATGAACAAGGTAAAATCCCAGAGTCCAGAGAACAACATCTGGATGTAACGGGGTCTTCCACATCCCCCTTTTTGCAATTTTTACCTATTTTGACAGATATGCAGTGCCTGTATGGCAGCAATAACACAAACTCGAGTGTTTTCAGACAGGTTTCTAGTCAGAGATGACGTGGGTTTGAACAGATAAAATAGAGATTCTGGTTTTAAAGATTCCCATTGGCTCTTTTTTTTTTTTTTTTTACATTTTTTCCTTACGCTTGACAATGATGCTCCTGCATGTGAGAGCTGAGGAGTGTTGCTTATGATGGTGTGAAGTCAGTTTCCAGGTGAAAATGATTCTGCTATGCATTCGAATTCTGCCTAATGCCTTTAAAAATGAAAAAAGAAAAAAAAAAAAAAGACAAAAAAAGACCTTGATGCCTATAGAAGTAGACTGTAGACTTGTTGTAGATGCTTGATTGATTCTGTTAGCATTGTGGATTTGTCCATCAGCCAATCTGCCTTGTCGAGGACACAGTGCAAGCATCTTAATAGGTTCAGGTGTGAGTGTGTGTGTGAGTGAGAGTGTGTGTGTGTGGATGGATGCTTGGTGTTTGTACCAAATATGCTGTACAGAAGACAGGAGTCCTACTTTCAACAACAGAAGCACACACATGTATTTAGGCTATGCAAACTGTAACAGCAGCAAATGTGAGATATGACATTAAATATGAGAAATGAGATTATAAACTACTTGTAAAGTTGCTTATGAACTTCACAGAGAAAAAAAAAAAAACCTTCAGATAGTGAGAGTATCATGTCACTATGTAAACTATTAGGATGCCTTAACTCTTGTTTGAAAACCAGTTTGTCAGTGTGTCTGTATGCTGTTCTGGGTTGATTTTTTTTTTTTCTCCCCCCCATGACTAAGACGTAAGTCGGTAACTATTATTAATATTTTCGTTTGTTTTGCGGGGGCCCCATTAAGCGTCGGGTGGGAGAACTGAGATGGCTTTTTGCATATAAAGTTGGTTCTGCAGCTTGAAAGACTTAAGTCGACAAAAAAAAAAAAAAAAAAAACATGAAACAAAACCAGCATTGACAGTAAACTCTGGCTGCCGTCCTCTTCTGTCACAACCAAAGACCGAACAATATGTTCCCATTTTACATGATAGTAAAGCAACAGAGACTGTACAACTCTATTTTTGATACTTTGAAATGGATGTCATTCCTAAGAGGTTGGGGACATGTATGACTGTCTATATATACATATATATATATATATACACACACACGAATATATATATATATGTATATATACACAAATATATATATGAAATTGTTTTGTAAAATAAAAGGGAAATACAGGTTTAGCTGATGTTTACCAAGCCTTGTATTGTCATTTCTTGTATATTTTGTATGTTAAATTTTTTGTAATTTTTAAGACTGCAGTGCTTTTTGAAATTATTCAAAGGGAATAATACCTTGCATCATACTGTAGGCTCTAAAGTAGTGTATGTCAATAAAACAGAAAACTCAGCCATGGCTTTGTGTCACTGTTTCCTCCATTTCTCCTTTTATTTTCTCAGCTTTCAAGTTTACCACAACCTTATTCTTCACCCTTTCACACCTTAGAAGAGTACAAATATTCAGAGGTTGAAATGATAAGCGGCGATTAAAAGAAAATGCACTGACGAAATAAGTGATCTGGTGCTGACTTGAAGAGCTACGTAGACATCGAAAGATTACTCAACAAATGTATCAGTACAGTGTTGTAGTGTTTTGGGACTCAACAGAACCAGAAATGTCTTTTTATGATATATTCTGACTGGCGCCTACATTACCCACAATACAACACTGCCGTCGACGGCTTAATGACTCAGGTGTGCTGTGTTGAGCCAACCTTGTTACGTTTTCACACCTGTAGTCTTCAGCATCAGACGATCCTGACTCTTAATAAGCTTTGGTTACTCTCTGGAGCCTAAAACGGTTTCATACTTTTCCACATCATATAGCAGTGTTGTGAATGTACTGCAAGTTCAGTAGCCCTTCCGAGAACACTAAACACCATCTATCCATCCATCCATCCTCTTCCGCTTATCCGGGGTTGGGTTGCAGGGGCAGTTGGTGGCGCAGCTCATTCCAGACTTCCCTAACACTAAACACATTTAAAGTTTTTTCTCCTTTAAGCTCAAATGTGTAAATTTTGAAATGGAAAACTTTGGTGCCCCCAGTGGTCATAGTAAAAAGCTCACCACAGCTGCCATAGCTTTGTTTTGTGATTAAAATCAGTTGTAACTTTGAAATAGTTTCATTTCAGTGACTATTTTAACAGATAACTTACAGTGGAAACAGTCTGTTGTCTCTTCAAGTGCTCTCAAAGCCACCTGTAGTATCATTAAAATAGGTGTTTGAAACCATTTACAATAACTGGGTGGTTTACTGTTTGAAACTCAGCCAGTTTTTCCATTGGTTTGCTTCTCTCTGATCTCACATATTCTGCATTTCAATACAGCCAAAGTCCCAATAAAGCTGTTGTCAGCTACATGTTTTTCTGTTCTGTTTTTAGGCAACAGAATAAGTATGAAATAATGACTGAAAAGCCTCCCATTAAGACTGCACAGTGAACTCTGTTATACTTCCCCAGAATGATCGCTCAGAGAGAAACTCAGAAATGACAGAAAATCCTGGTCTACAATCACAATTGTGTCGGCTGTGTGCAGTCAACTGCTTTGCTCTGAATTGTCAATCACAGATGCAGAGGGAGTGTTCTTCCTTAAGCAGAAGTGGACAGCAGCAGCTCAGCAGCACTTACAGCTACAGACACTGTAACAGCCTGTTAAGAACGGGGTTGAAACCAGAAGCTTCAGTTATGGTAACATGAACCATCTCTGTAGTGTTTTTAACAGAAAAGTTAAAAGACAGGGTGTAAGGTGGAGCGGTGGTTAGCACCGTCGCCTCGCAGCTAGAAGGTCACCGGTTCACACCCTGGTGAGGACAGCTGGGTTCTTTCTGCATGGAGTTTGCATGTTCTCCCCGTGCAGCGTCGGTTCTCCAGCTTCCTCCAACAAGGTCCAAAAACATGTTGAGGTGAATTGGTGATTCTAAATTGTCCGTAGGTGTGAATGTGAGTGTGCTTGGTTGTCTGTCTCTAAGTGTAGCCCTGTGACCTGTCCAGGGTGTCCCCTGCCTTCGCCCTGAGTCAGCTGAAACACTTGAAACACAGATCATTGTCAACATTTTTATTGTTTACAGTTTGTACACAGATCTAAATTCAAGTCTCAAACTTGCATCAAAAGAAACAAATAGCTCCTCTGCCACCAGAGGTTGATCTGGCCCCATATGGGCCAGTATTGCACTCTGGGTAATGTAGGCACAGTAAAGGTGAAAAACTAAGGCCTGTCACAGGAAAAAGTCACGCAGCTTTACACAATACTGTGGCTGTAAGCAGGAATGAAAGCATGCCACAGATCGATGGTCATAAACAGTCTGGAAACAAGAACGGAACAGATACAGCAGTGAACGTTGATCATTACAAAAGACTTCCGGATTCACTTCTGTCCTTTCACATGTATTCACTAAACTTTCGTAAAGAAATTGCATTCATAAAAATAGGATCAATTTGTCTTGCTACTCTGGTAAAGATGCTCGGTTTCTTAACTCTTTGATTAGAGAGGAAAAACAAACAAACAAACAAACAAAAACAATAATAATAATAATTGTAGTGCTTGGAAGAAAGAAAATAAAATGACTTACTGTTATCATACATAAATGCTTTTTACAGAAAAAAAAACTAACAAAAATAAAGTTACCTATTAGTTGGCACAGCTGTGGTGTAGTGTAGAATAAACTAGTAGTCCCTGAAGCTCAAAGCAATTTAAATGAATCCAAGACAGACCAACGGTACAGTTGTACTGTCGCACTCTGCTGCCAGTAGTCCAAGTCACTTTTATGGCTTTTTTTTTTCTTTTCTTTTTTCAATCCCACCACGACACTGCTGGAGGCCATCAAATAATAAACATCGAGCCTGCACATACACACAGCTGTGTTTGCATAGAACTAACACAAAAGATTCCTAAGAGTGAAAATTTAGAAATATACAGACAAGATTGTGTGTAGAAGTGGTTTTAACGGCCTCAAGCATTTCAGGAAGAACATCTGTACAGTTTAATGGGGCACACACACACATAGAGTATTTAAATATACCTGCATGTTTGGCTTTGCAGAGCCACTGATATGATCCACACCGTCTCCTCTCCACAACCAGCTTTTAGAATACACAGAAAGGCTACACGTGACATCCTCAGAGTCATTCGCCTGACGTGAACTTTTACAGACTTTAGTTGCTCCGTCTGCGGATGCTCAAACTCCATCAGCAGCTTCAGGAGTGTCAGGACCAGCGGCGTTGGGTGTGTGTCAGGGCTAGCAGATCGTGGAAGAGGGAGAGGTTTAGTAGGGGTTTTACAAGGCACTCAGATCTACTAGATTTAGGAATTGAGGAAAAGTGTCTGGAAGAGAACAGAGACTGTTCTTCTGTGGGGTGATAAACTGAGGGAGATGGAGGGCTGGTGGTCAGTTACAGAAGCCCAAGTGGATCTGCTGGCCGTAGAAAGGATGGTTGCTGCGCTCGGCTACAGCCCGCCTGGCGACCTCCTCACTGGGGAACGTGATCAAGGCCTCGCCGCTGCATTGGCCGCTGAAGTTATACAATATGAGAACGGCATCTGGTTGGAGCTGCAGAAAAAAAAAAAAGAAGATGAGAAGAAACACAAAGAGGAAAATGAGTGACTTTATTTCCCATGTAGCTGCAGCATGAAAACACCAGGGGGAGCCCACACAGCTGAGGAGGGAAAAAAATGCAGAAGGAAAGATCATCTCATCAAACCAGTCCGGTTAGGAAGCAGTTAGGAAGGAATAAGCAGAGTTTAAAGAGTCGAAGCAGAGTACATGCTGTTCTCAAAGACCTGAAAAAAAACCCCATGGCAGGTTGTAATGAAACACACATTAATCATCTGTTAGCTTGCATGCATTCATGTCCTGCACCACAATCAATGAGAGATGACAGTCTAATTCCATAAGACATGCAGATATAAAACAACTCACTGATCAGCAGTGAATCAGACCATGAAGGTGGGAAAAAGCTCTCAGTGTTCATCAGATTGAAATGGTTGCGGTAGAGTCAAAGGAGGCTCTGACTCAGTGCTGGATAAGAGTCATTTATACTGAAACTGGCACAATTTAAGTGATCTCATCTAAATATTCCATTAGAAGAGCCACTGTTAAAGCATCTAACTTTGATTCAGATTGGGGATACTGGTGTTGTACTGATACTTAAGCTGGCAAATGGATGGCAATAAATACCTCATGTGCTAAAGAAAAGAGCAGCGGTTTGTGAGAATCTCAGTTCTCCCCGAGGAAAACTGTACTGACAGTTCTCACAAACTCTGTAGGACAGAAGAGGCCCATCAGTCAGGTGCCAAATGTCTGCAGGCTTTTAATGTAACGCACAAGAAACCTGAGCTTGGTTCTTGCTCCCAGGTTCAGGTTGTTAATCACTCAACTAATGTTAAAAAAGAAAGAGAGAGAGATGGTGGGAATATTTATCTGTCCCTTCTAGTAACAACATCTACAAAATGCAGAATGTACAAAATGTTACCGTCATTTTCTGCATATTGTCTTACAACTGTTCTCTCAAAACCTTAAGAGAAGCAGTGAAAGTGATGCTTCGATTCCTGGAAAATGTGACTTTTGATTATTACACATTAGCTTTTCCTGTTGTTGGGGCAACACCAAACTCCTTCCTTGAAGTGGGCCTCAAATGATGTGACATCCCAGCTATTTGCAGGAAACAGGGGTGCCACAAATTTTATGTCACAAATTAAAAAAAAAAAAAAAAAAAGAAAAGTAAGGATGAACTGATCATTTACATTTAGAAACAACAGTACAGAATCAGCCACCATGATCTTCTCACAGATTTTGGTCTAAAAATCACTAAAAGGGCTTAAAAAAATATCACCAAAACAAACTCTAAAGTGTCTGTCAAGAATCTAGAATCAGCACCCCAAACATGGCAGCAGGAAAGACTTTGGTTATGAAGCAGACGTGCCTGAGAAGCAGCAGGCTGACATGCCGGGTCAGGATGTTTAAGCCTCGATGGCTAGATTGGGCATTCCTGTCAAATTATGAATTGGCTTGCAGGCCTGTGATGTGTTATGTGGTCGAGTTTCATCCCTAAGAAAGACTGTTTCACAGCAGCAATTTGAGTTGGACAATTTTTTAGGTTGATTTTTATGACTGCTATATTTAGGAAGCTAAAAAAAACAAAAGGTTTCTCTGGGAAAACATTTGAATCTTGGTAGCTCATTTTGAACCACTGGGCTTTTATCTAGTAAAAACTAAATTGGTGATTTGACAGTTAAAATATGCCAAGTAGAGCAACTGAAAAGCTGTCACCCCTTAAAGCAGACTAATTGCCCAGCAGATCACCATGTTAGTATTTACTGGCATTTTGAAGCTACTAGCCTACATTACACACTGACGCTGTGCAAAAGCCAAAACATAAAAGGTGTTATTGAGGTCTAGGAAATGCCCCCTCTCTCCATTCTGCTTCTCTGGTCTGGAGGCTCTTCTTACCTTGGGGTGAGTCCCTAAAGACAGAGCCATTCTTTGGGCTGAATCAGACTCCTGGCCTGTTCGCTCATCTGAACCACGCCGCTGTACTCGTCAGGGGCGTACTACACATAGCATAATAATGAACAGAGGGTCAGGGTGGGGGGGCGCCACATGGTTTCACACATGACAGTACACAGTTTTAGACACACACAAGATGCAGATGTATATGCTCTCAAAAATGCTATGAAGTTTTTCAAGTAGAAAGACAAAAAAACTAAAAAAAAAAAAAAAAAAAACCAAACCAGAGACACACACACTCAGCAAACACTGTCTGAACAGGCTACATTTGAACCACACAGTGATTAAGCCTGGGAACGTGTTGTAAAGGACACCGGTGTTGGTGTGGGAACTGTTTTCTCACCCAGGGCCAGTGTGAGAGACGCTACTGCAGCCAGAAAAGCACACACTCACTCCATTAAGGATACGACTGCTGTGGTTCAGCCAACAGTCAGAACTGGAGTCAGCTCTCAAACACACACACACGGTACACTCATGGACTTACATTTCTCTGACAGCATTTAAGTTCTCCAGCTCCAAAAGAGCTCTTTTTTTTGGTTTGAATGTGATGCTCATACACACACATACACGACAAAGTATACGGGTTGTACTACTACAAAATGACACGAGCAATAGAGACCAAAAGCAGACCAGAGATTTGTGCCCCAACAATAACAACAACAACACAACTCCTCCACCTTAAACCCCACTCCTCCCCCTCCCCAGCTTGCAAACTGTCTGAGGCCACACCTATCAGGGTTCATACCTGCTTCAGGGGACTCCACCTAACTTGGGCTGGCAGCAATAAATATGGGAAGCAAAGAGGAGGGGGAAGAGCACAAGTGTACACATGTCCCTTAGTTGAATGTTGCAATGAAACGCTTCAATGGAAATGTGCTTAACGGTTCAGCTTTATAATGAGGAGGAGAATATTATGGGAGGTCACAGGTAACAAAACACTGCAAAAAAAAAAAAACACTGGCAACTCTGATCCTGGTCAGCATTTACTCTTCCAACACAACGCTCAGCAGAACTTACTAAAGTACTGCCCTAAAATTCTTTACATATTAGAGAATCACACGGCCAAACATCTCAACCAGCATCCTTTTGCTGTATATGGTGGTGCATTTCCATACAAATTACCTTTGTGCTCAACATTCCTCAAAACCCAAACACACTTTAAGGTCTCCGCCTTCATTTTAGCATTACATGTACTGACCTGGTATCCCTGGAAGAAGCTGAGGATGTCTTTGACTCCGGCATTGTAGGGCAGACCCTGCATCCTGACCAGGGCACCGGGTTGGGGCAGCACAGGAGAGGCGGCGGCTGCAGCAGGGTGGGGCTGAGCTGCAACTGCTGCTGCCACTGCTCCTGGTGGCGCTGCAAAGTAGCTCACAGTGGAGGGAGAGACTGGGGGGCTGGAGAACAAATGAGAAGAAGACAACAAGCAAAGTGAGATGTAAACATGTGGTTCTCCTTCATTTGCTTAGCAGTTTGCTGTAGCTGATACTGTACTGACCTGGGGTAGTACGCAGTGTAGTTCATGTTCATGTTCATATAGAGATGTGGCTGAGGAGGGTAATAGGCCAGAGTGTGAGCGGGGTTGTGAGCAGTAGTCTGAGGAGGTCTGGGAGCAGCCAACAGAGGGGGCTGGTAGAGGGCAGCCTCAGACAGAATGGCAGGTGGAGTGGGGAAGGCAGCATAGGCTGTGGGGGGAGACAGACCTACAGACACAGACAAAGAGATGCATGTGTGAAGTGCATGTACAGTCCTGCCACAAGTGAAATTGTATTAAGCACGTGAATCATTTTGCAGGACGCGTTACCATTCCAGCATAGTATAAATATATTATGTGCAGAAACTACATGTCTAGCATCACAATATATTCCACAGGCTTGACAACGTAATGAAGACGAAGTCCCATTTATTTGTGTCCGATTAGATTTCAGCGGTCAGACTTGAGCCAGTCAGTTAAAAACTGAGAAACATTCTTTGTTGCATTTGCATAGACTATTTTTAAAAGATGGACAGATTTGTTAAACTATTTAACATTTTCCCAACAAGTTTCTGGTCTCAATCACTAGTTTCAAGACTTTTTGAATACAGCACGATGTTCAGTTAGTAAATTATGGCCCCATTTAGAGTAAATGTACAAGAGTTTACAACTGACAAGCAGCTGCCGGACACATCCGGTTTTAAAAAACCAAGATGGCGAAGGACAAATTCCAAACTTGAGGCTTTAAAATTGAAGCCACAAACCAATGAGTGATGTCATCAGCTACATCCATCTTCTTTATAAACAGTTGATGCTTTTCTGGGAAATATGCTGCATGTTTACTTCATTTCAGTCCGTTTAATGTGAGGATTGACTGCTTTTATCTCTATGTATTATTCTAAACAGAATATATTTGGGCTTTAAGACTAAAGATGTCATCTGCTACACTTTTCACTTCTACAGACTGATCAATGTGTTGATATTAATATTGAAAGTAATAACTAGTTGCAGCCCTAGCATTATTATATTCCTAATACTTTTCAAGCAAAAGCAGTCAGACTTTCAGATGTTTAAAAAAAACAAAAAAAAACATGACATTTTGAAGCTTTATTAATTTATTGCAACACTGTATTCTGCTAAAGATATTCTGCAAGATCTGAGTGCTTACTGTTGTTGGTCTGGAATATACCATTCATCTTCAATTTTACTTTTAAATAGGTGGTCTAGATTATAAGAGGAAACTGTTGTACGCCTGTTAAAGTGTCCTTCAGACTGTCATACTTGCAATGTAAACACACACATGATGGTACAGATGTATTTACATATTAACAGCCACTATCTGTGTGAGGCTACGGGCAGCAACGGTCTCCCTCAGTGGCATCCGGGCAGCACCATGACAATAAAGCTGTCTGTGAGAGTCGGTAAAATCTAGTGTAGAAAATATGACCTCGTTTCCAACTGTAGTTAAAACCCAGATGAAAATGAGAAACCACCTTTATTTTGCAAATAATTAATAAATCTAAAATAAAAGCATTTACAATTGTTAAATAATGATCATTAAAAAGAAGTTGACACAGAAAAGAAAAAAAAAAGATGGCGTTCTTTTGCTCCCAATCTAATCTCTAGCAGCAAAGACAGATATGAGCCATAACTGAGCAAAGTACAGAGTTGCGCTTCACACAGCCCAAACTTGCATCATTATTTCCAGAACACAGACAGTGCACAGTAGCAGAGCTTAAAAGTAGATATGTTCCTACCAAATACCAGCAGGCTGTGGTGCAGTAAAATATTCAACAGTAAATACTTAAATACAGACCTGAAGTGACTTTTCAAACTTTGCTTTGGGTATTTTAGAGATCTAATGTCTGATGGTTTCGCTGCTGAGTCAATAGAAACACAAGCAGCTTTCACGAACAGCTGTTTACCATGCTCACCATCTTAGCATAGCATGCTAACATTTGCTAATTAGCACGAAACACAAAGTGCAGCTGAGGCTGAAGATAATGACAGTAATTTTGCCAGTATTTGGTGATGAATTGAAGTTATTACAGTAAACTTTGGGTAAATGTCTATATGAGATTTAATGGCCATCAATCCAATAGTCGTTGAGATATTTTAAATCTGGACCAAAGCGGTGAAATGAGCAAAGGAGCTATAAATCCTGATACTGGTTCATAAACTATCACTGCTATCAAACAGATACAAGTGTATTTGCTGCCTGAATACATTTCATTTGGTGGGTTAACTTACAGGGAAGTTTGCAGGGTGGAGGCGAGAGGCCGCTGCGATTCAATGTTCCCCCCATCAGGACGATGCTCATCTCCTCTGTGGAGCACTGGAAGACCTCGACGTACCGGTCCTTCATTGTCTTTTTATGGCACTTCTGGGCTACCATAAACGCTTTGTCAGATGACTTCATTTGGATGAAGGCATCACCAGAGGGCCGCCCCTGCACACAGGGAAGAAAAACTAGTCAGAATAAACGAAAAAGGCATGCATGTGTGAGTTTGTCTGAGGTTGAAAGGAATAAGAAAATCTGTGGGGGGGAAAGAATAATTATACAAACAGTTGTGTCTGTGTCTTGTCGGTTAGTTTTCTCTGTACTTGGACAACACTATTACCATGTGAATCTCTTCAGATACTTTCATACTTTACAGTTGTTCAGTCTTTTCACAACTGTTTGAGAAATGATGAGTGCATATTATCATCTGACATCGTTTTAAGACGTGGAGCTTCACAGTTATGTACAAGCCGCCACCAGTCTGACCTGTTGGTTGAGGACCATGTGAACTCCATGAGGTTTGATGTCGACGGTGTGTTCCCCCATGAACTCCAGGATATCTTCAATGCCGGCAGTGTAGGGCAGACCACGGAGGCGCACGCAGTCTCGAGTGCTGCTGGCTGCTGGAAGGAAGGGAGGCGTGGCGAGGACTGGGACAGGCACGATGGGTGAGGGGGGCAGTGTGGAGATCAGAGGTGTGGACATGTAGCGGTTCAGGACCTGGAAAAAAAAACAAACTAATTTAGTGGCTAAATCAACTTTTCTGCCATCAAAAGACAACAAATCTGATTTTGCTTTCTTCTTCACAGAGGAACTCCTGCAGTGGAACAAGCGGCTTCACCACAGTCATTGAAATGTTTTGTTAATGCAAAGTAGAGACACAATACAGGATGTAATTATGGAAAACATACAAGTTAAAAAGGTTGACTTATGGTCTACTAGTGTCTAAACAAACTAATTCTCATGGTGATTGATTTTCTTTAAAAACACAAATATGACTATCAGTTGTACAACTCCACCATCATCTAATTTATTGGATGTCTCAATTGCTTTGTCACAAATTTCCAGTATAATGTTTGCTCACTGTGTTGTCATGACTGCAGTTCTTTGGAAACCGTTGTGACAGGGGAAGCAACTGTCATTGACTTCAGCCCATAGTGACAAGTATCATACACAGAAAGGGGACTGTTTCAGATTATTCAGAGATGATAAAAAGGCTTACACAAGCACCGTAGTTACAACAAATTAAAATGCACGGGCCTGTCAATATATTCATGAAGAGTAAGTAGTTACGTACAAAACAGTCCTACTATTTATGTCAATGAAAACACAGACATGTTTGTATCTAAAATAGAAAACCACAGTCACAAGTTTCCTTGTTTTTAAAACTGATTTCTGCAATTACACAACACCAGCCTATATTAGGCGTCTAAGAAAGAGGAGCTCAAAACCCAGTTCCTTTATTGAAAGGACCACCTCCTATTCCATACATGCCACCACCAGCAACCTCTACCTTCTTCTACATCGTTTTGAATCCTGTAAAGCAGGACGCCAGAACTGTTTCCCAGATAGAGTAAATAAAATCTGACATTTGTGTGACAACTGACACAATGGCACGTGTTTTGTCATTTGACGACAAACGTTTTTTTTAGGCTGCACAACTGAAACAACTCACCTGTTGCACTTCGGCCGCAGTGCTCCGAAACAGCTCAATGTAACGCTTCCCCAAGATCTGCTTGTGCTTCTTCAGGGCATTCTGGGCGTACTCTTCACAAGAGAAGAGCACAAAGGCATCGCCGGTGGGCCTTCCGTCAGGATACTTGACAAACAGCAGGCCCTCAGCACCGTCTGTAACTGGGCTCTCGGGACCAAGGAAGGAAAGCACTTCCTGTGGTGTGGCAGTAAACGGCAGCCCTCGCATACGGATTATCACCTGGTTCTCTTTGGACAGGAACTGCGCCACCTCGTTAGACGTACCTGAAGTCACAAGAGAAGCAATGATGAAACATCTCGCATCCTAAGACCTCTCAAAAACACATTTTAAAACAAGTAAACAAGTAAGGTTAACATTTTTTATGTTGTTGTGGACAAATCTCCTTTTATCAGCACAGCAAGAGTGGGCATGGTCAAGGTGTATCCAATTTCTAATTGTGACATCAATATACGAGGTGTGTCAGAAAGGTTACAGGACTGGTGTCACAAAAGATAGATTTCAAACCCAAACTACAAAGTAGAGTTTTCCCCTTCAGACGATCAACCAGCACGTCTACAAAGAGATCCTACGATGTTTGCTTCATTCAGTGTACAAGAAGAGGCCAGAGTTGTGGCTGGACAAGTCATGGCTGCTTCACCATGACAACGTGCCTGCTCACAATGCCCTGAGCATCCGACAGTTTCTGGCTGAGAAGAACATCGCCGTGCTGGAGCAACCTCCCTACTCACCCCACCTGGCAGGATTGTTTCCTCTTCCCCAAGCTCAAGGGGGTCATCAAGGGGACCTGTTTTGAAGACGTGGACGACATCAAGATGGCTGTGATGACGGAGCTGCGGAGGATCCCGGAAGAATCCTTCCAGGAGTGCATGGCAGCGTGGCAGAGAAGGCTGGTCAAGTGCGTTACACTCCAGGGGGATTACGTCGAAGGGGAAAATTTGTAGTTTGGATTTGAAATATATCTTTCGTGACACCAGTCCAGAAACTTTTCTGACACTCCTCGTATATCAAGATATTGTACATTTTCTGTAGGAGTCTCAATCTATTCTACTCCATGCTTGTTTAGCATGTGGTCTTACTAATATTTGGCAATTAGCAAATAAAAAACAGTGTACAGTTGAGGAAGATTTGATGTAAGGACAAAACCTCAGTACTTTGTTACTTTGGGTACAAAATCCATCCAGTAAATGTTTGAAATAGTAAATCTGCTAAAAAGTTTACCTCTGCAATTCCTGCCCAGCTAAAACACCAATATTTGGTCCTTAATGATACGTTTATCTAAATAAAAATGTTCCAGGAGCTCTGATGGAGCTCAAAACATTATTTATGCACACTATACACAAGTACAGACAACTATATACCTATTTGAACATTTACATAGATGTGTTTTCAATGGAAATGGCCCAGTACATCAGTACATCCTGAGATATTAAAGTGTACCATAAAACAAAATCATGGTATCTCATTTCCCAAATGTCCCTTTCACACTCTGGACACAAGCTTCTCCTTCGACAAGGAAACTACAGAAATGTTTGCGCTACAAACTCTGTGAAAAATGTGCTGTCTTATAACCTGGGACTCCAGTAATGAATCAAGTAATGATCTCAAGCGTCACCATCCAGTGACAGCTTCATTCCCATTACATAGTCACCTGCATCTGGTTTCAAGTTTATTTCCTTTGTTTATATCCTCCTTAGCCTGCTTTACTACAAGACTGGTTCAGGGTGAGACTTGCAAAAACTGCAAAATGAGGAAATGTTAACTTATATGACCATTCAAATACAGACCATAAAAACAAATTGTCTTGCTTTATCTCTGAGTCAACCCTTCAGTTCGAAAGTAAAACCATTTGGTGTCGAGCCTGAAGTCACAGCAATGTATGGATACATTTGCCAACCATGTTCAGTTGTGTTTTGTTTCAACAGTTACAGTGCAGAACGTACTAATTAGACGGAACAAATTAAACTACAAGCCCAGCCAGATGAAGAATTTTGAGGACTTTATCACAAGACACAACTGTCTTTCAGTGATGATGCAAACAAATACTGTGGATATAAGGTTAATGAAAAAACACTTATTGACTTGGCCAGGTCTAGTCTAAGTATTGACTAGATAAGACATCTAAGTATTGTCTCTGTTCCTTCACCTCTACCAAAGAGACTCAGACCATATTTATTATTTGTACTGAAAAGTAAAATGTGAAAGAAATTCCCAGATTAAACAGCCACAATATCAAAATTCATTTTCCAAAACTGTAAATGCTGTGGCTCCACAGACTGAACATTTTGTATTGTGCATTTGTTTACATGTTTATTGCTTTCGATTAAATTAAAAATGCAACCGTGTCTTGTCTGCTTGAACTATTTGCATAAAGTCCAGTGTGCTGTCAATCTGTATTGATCTTAACTCATCTGAGTAAAGTCCAGAGTCTGACTAGCAGCCACTGTAAGTTATCTGCTGCCAGTGACTGTGTTTCTTTGTCTGCCATTTCTGTCCTATGTTACTCCTGGCTGCTGCTCAATGGTCCAGAGGCCCCAGGGCCTGCCTTTGTCTCTTCACACCCCCTTTGTATCAGCTCTGAGTGGGTCCTTTCACCGGGCGTCAGCCCTCTCTCCCTCAGGGGAGAGCAGCTCAAGGCTGAACTGAACAGGTGAGCTGCTGTTAGCTCAGAGTAAAATTTCTCTCCAACTGGCCTCTGAGGGGTTGGCCTAGGGAAGAGGAGGTGAGGAAGGGACGGGGGCTGTGGGGGACGCTCCTCACAAAGCGTCTTTCATTAGTCTGAGATAAGCTGCTCGAGAGTCGCTGGGATGAGGCAAAGACACGGGTAATAGGAGAGAGAGCCCGAGCGCAAAACAGATCCCTTCCTTTACTCTTTTACAGTCACTACAGAGCTGCACTTTTACAGATGTGGAAAGTGGAGGATTGTTTTTTCTCAAAGGTGCAGGAAAGACACGAAACAGAATGCTACCTCAGGTAACAGAAAGGCTTTCACTATGACCACAGTGAGATTGGGGGGGAAAAAAAAAATGAAATCTGACCTCCAGCAATCTTGAGGAATTCCTCTCCTGTGGCTTTGTAGACCTGAAAAAGACAAGAAGAAAACAGGATTTAGTCATAAACAAATCATTGACCTCATGAAGGTGACATGCACTGTGTTATGCTTTTAAACTCAACTTAGCAACTCTTAGATCTTAAATCCAATTAACAAAAAAACCCCAAAAAACCCCCAGCATTAACACAACTATTGAGTTTAAGTCATTTCAAGCCTGATATTTTCTTGATAATTAAATTGTCATTGAGTTAAGTGGACATTTACAGATTCACTGCCTGGTATTGACTTAAAAGAAGAGACTAAAGTTTGGCTAAGCAGCTATTTTTAAAGCATACCACAACTACACATCATACTCACAGTATGAGTTAACAAGACATAAATGCTGAACCTTACCTCAATGTAGCGGCTGCCCATGTGGTGTTTGTGGCGCTCCAGGGCCAGGTCTCTGTGCTCCGAATTGATGAAGCGAACTAGGGCCTCGCCATTCCTCCTGCCCTGAGCGTTTAGACACAAGGCCACACCGCCCCTGAAACACAAGGGTACAGACACCTTAATGCAAAGTAACACAATTAAATGTACGGATCCACAGTTGGGTTCACTTCTGCATTTGTCTTTGGTTGGTGTGGTCATCAGAACTGTGTTTAACAGGGATACCAACAATCTTGTCATGTCAGTAATAGGAACAGTTCAAAAAAGGGGCAAACAATGAGTCTAGCTCTGTCTAAAACTAATACAATCAGCCTACCAGGATTTTTAAATCCTTGCAGTTAAGTTACATCCGTGTCATTTCCAGGCAATGAGCTGTGTGCTTAAATGCTGTTGGCTCAAGCTACATACTGTATTTACTGTGCAGACATCAGAGTGGTATTAATCTTCTCATCTAGCTCTCAGCAAGAAAGCAAATAACTGAGTTTCCCAAAACATCACACTGTTACTTTATCATCTCCAAAAACATTTCTGTGATTGTCTGACGGTGAGCACACAATTAAGACTTTGAAACTGAAAGCAGTTGTTCAGTTGGCACTATGTTAGTTTATAATGATCACCATCTTAGTGTGTGAGAAGGCAAATATGTTCTAAATCGAGCACAACTACAGTTGGGGCTGATGGAAGTGTCATTCGTTTTACAAGTATTGTAGCATTTTTTGCCTTGCAAGCAAAGCAACGTCACTGGCATTGAGTAAACGAGCAGTGCCTTTAAACCCAAGATTTACATTTTCCACACTGATTTGTGAAGGTTGCAGTGGACTGCTCGAAGTGTTTTGTATGACTTACAAACACAGAATTTTTTTTAATGGACTTTGCAAACACAACATCAAAAGTGACTAGTACCAGAAAATATAGGAAAAGTCTGCACCCTGTTCTGACAAGCTCCAGAAAGCACTTTGAAATGTTTTGCAGAAACAGAAGTTTAAATAAAGTTCATTAGAGTTGTGGGAATGTTGGAGGAGACTCATGAAGTCCAACGTACTTGGCAATATTGAGGCCTTTAAAGAAGCGAGCAATGTCTTGGTCTGAGGACTGCCATGGAAGCCCTCGTGCTCTGATCACCGTCTCACTGTCCACCGGCTCTGTCTTACTGCTGCACAAAGCACCATGTGGAAAAAGAAGATGAAAAAAAACATTTGTTACACTCTGATAGTAATGGAAAAAAGAAACAATAATTAGCACAGATAGTTAAAAGTACTTCCGCATATGGCTGCAATGAAAAAAAAAAGATTAAAAAAAAAAAAAAAAACACTCTTGTTATGTTTGAACAAATTGTCCACAGATTGCAGAAACAGAGGCCACTCACACTAAGTGCTTAACGCAGGAACACACTCTCATGATTAAATGTCAGAGGGTTGTCAAGGTGATAGGCTTTTGGCTTTCTGAGAACAGCAGGATTTGGTGCTCTGCTACTAGATATCCAGGTAAGCACTTGATGGCAAAGTTGGACAGCTTTAATAACACACTTGTGGTTTTCTTGTTGCTGTAATCAATGCTGAGAGTCTGAGGTCTGAATACGGTTGGGGTTGGGGGGAGGTTGGGAGGGGGGTGTGAGTCTGTAAACAACACTACTGGCTAACACTTGTGGCAAGAACTCACACAGAGATGGACTGAGATAAAGTCTACTGTGTGTATTAATGTTCATACATACCATGTGCCAGAGTCGAACTTGTACTTCACAGTTTCAACACAGCTAAACTTGTGATCTAAAAAAAAGAAAAGACAACACAAAATTGTATTATTATTATTGGGAGGCGCTGTTGGATTCCCATGTTTAAACCAATGTTCTCTCGCATGTAGTGAAGATTCTGCCAAGCAGAGTGAATTTTAAGCACACCACATTCCTGTATCGTATCACACCCAAAGACATACTCGGCTGTTATTAAGAGGGTGAAGCCAGAGGGGACTGCCACAGTCAAGATGGAAAATTTCAGATTGAAGTTTGATTTATCTGCACGGCAACATATCTGGAGACATCTGAGTTCCGACTATCCAGCAGTAAATTGTCTGATGATGAATACGTGTCTGCTGCTGCAACACATGTGAATGAGATCTGGCTTCAATGGAAAAAGAAACTAGTATATGGGTTTCTGACTATGATTAAGACATTTTTCAATAATCATCAAACTACGGCGGCTTCTGTTTGTGTTCTGTCACTGTGCTGATTATATAAAAACGTCATTAAAAGTATGTTCAGACACACTAAGAACTGTGGATGACAGTGTGCGTCACTTCACTGCTCTATCGTCCATTATGTTTGTGCTTCCTGTGTACAGGGTTTAGGGTCAGCTACTAACGGTGCCAAGGTAGGCATTTGGCATCAAGTTTAGTGTCAGTCTATTTTAGGCACAAAGTCTGCCAGTTACTTACTGTAGGGCTCATCCAGGATGCACAGTGTCAGCTGCACCATGCTCATCACCTCCCTCACCCCCATCATCTGCTCCGACACAGCAGGAAGACCAACACCTGCACGTACGGTTAAGGCTGTTGCCCAGTTTTAGCTGTTTTTGTTGACTTTGTACGACATGTTGACATTTTCTGCAGTAAAGATTTTTCACTTACATCCTTTTATTTTCGTACACTTTGTGTGTATTTTTAAGGAAAAGCCTATATACGGCGTTCTAATTATCAAAACAATTTTAACACTTCTGATTTTGGCGAGCTGGCAAAGGATACATTCCAACATGGAGGTGAGCGTGAGCTTCTGTGCAGGGCCGGCATTTGGGCAGCATTTGTGAAACTCCTTTCTCACGTCCACAAACGAGAAGAAACATTCAGGAAGGACAAGATTCTAGACAGAAAGAAACATAACAAAACTATTTAGTGTGGCAGTATGACAGTAAAGAAATCTGATATGCATGTTGGACATACCAGGAAGCTAACAGACAAAGTTCACAGAGAGAATTCCTAGAGAGCGGGTATGAGTGGAGGAAGGCTTTCATTTTATCACACACTATCAAATAATTGAAACCATAAACACAGAAAGCAACGGTTAGCTGGTTTAGTGGATTTACTAACACCCTCTGTGGGAGCTTAACTTGCAAGTGATTACCAATTTGCAAAAAAATAAAAAATTAAGCAAATGTGTCTGAAATAACAACAAAATATATATATATATATATATTTGCCATGAAGCATGTGCCCGCAAGAGGGAATAATCACCTTTTTCGAAGCTTCGGGGTGGAGGGCTTGTCGAATGACAAGAGGACTGTTCACACAAAGTGTGTAAGAGCTCCTGCCAAGACACTTCACTTCTGATGACACTGACTGCTGGAACTGCACATTGAAACAGAGAGGAAAGAGAAGAGAAAAAAAAATCAAACATGTCTTTTGTTTGTTTTTTTAATCAAGGCAGAACCATCAATATTAAATCTGAACATGTCTAAAATATCCAAAAGTATCTTAAAATAAAGAACAAAACATGAAACACTTTATTTTGATATATTTCACTAATTAATTTGCAGCCATTCTATAGCTTAACATCATATTGTTCAAATCTGATTTAATGACCTGTCATCCACTATTTCAAAGTGAGAATCAAACAGTGGACTTGGAATCTAAAGGCAGAAAAGTGAAGGTCGTGTTTTTGACATGTGACTGTTTCTCATGAAGAACGAGTCTTGTCTAACAGGTTTTAGTGTTTGCCGTGAGAGGGAGGGAGCAGACAAAGGAGAGGAATGATCACACCACTAATCACCAGGATCACAGTTCTCTCTTTGCACAACCAACAGTCACAGCCAGACAAGAGCAAAAAAACAACCCATACAAGTCCAACCTGCCTGTCTCCACTTTACGTAAACTCTGATGTCTACAGCACACAGTCCTAAATACCAGCACATCCCACATATTCATGTTTATTTACAACAATCACGGGTTCAGCGAGTCCCATCTCTTTTATTATGTCAACCTGTTGTTGGCTGTGTTTCACTGCCAACAGAGGCCATCTCTTCATTTGGAACACTGCATTTCTGAGAATCATTTTGTTGTGATTTCACCTGAAGTACCTTCGAAGGCAGCCATACGGTGGTTGTTCTTTTCCAGTTACTTAAAATCATAACAACAATGCCTTCAAACATTACAAAACTATTGTTATATGCTAGCTAGCAGTTTCCAACTTTAGGAGTTACAGACTTGGAGCAGCACTGGGACACTACTGAAGGTCTCTAGTCAAATCAAGAATAATATCGGACAATCTTTTTGCACCAGTTTGGTCGACCAGTTCATAAGAAAAGTATCTAAGACTCTTTGTTTGCTAAATGTTTCACCAGTTACTTTGGCTTCTCACTGTGTTGCATTCTGTAAAATCCAATTATCTGAGCATGTGTGCTGGAAGGTGCTACGAACACGTTCGTCTATCAGACAGACAGTAGTGGTGTATAGTTCTGATTCACTGGGTGTCAGTCACATACGGACAAAATTAAATGCGTGAAAGCTGTGAATTCTCAAGAAGATCAGCAATATTAGTAACCCCTTCAAATACAACTGGGAGCTGATTTATGGATAGTTAAAAAAAAAAAAAAAAAAAGTTCTTGAGTTAAACCAAGCTGCTGGTCAAGGAATATTGATTCACTGGGTGTCAGTCACATACGGACAAAATTAAATGCGTGAAAGCTGTGAATTCTCAAGAAGATCAGCAATATTAGTAACCCCTTCAAATACAACTGGGAGCTGATTTATGGATAGTTAAAAAAAAAAAAAAAAAAAGGTTCTGAGTTAAACCAAGCTGCTGGTCAAGGAATATTGTTTCTTAAACTTAACATACTTTGACAAACAATTTGGATGTCAAACTTAAGAAAAATGATTCCCTCCCTCACTTACATTTTCATGCTGACCAACATGCCCAGCCTCTTCTTTTTGTTGTCACAATCCAGGTGCCTTATAATGGATATCAGAATAATCCATTTAGGCCATAGTTACTTTCACAGAGTGTTTGGACAGGATGTGGGGACCCACCCACACAAATCACTGCATAGTAAGAACATCTTGAAACTTCTCTTAAGTCATAATGACTTGAATGACACACAATGTTCCCACGCACAATGGAGACCGCCATTAACTGTTTGTTTCCCTTTGGCCTTAACTGAACACTCACAGTTACTTCTGGAAGAGCAGTTTCACCATCTGGATGTGGGACCACCTTAAACCCAGTGACTGACTAGTTTCACATGGCCACTGGCTATGACAGGCCTTCAGACAGTGGGAGAGTATATTAGAGGTGCGTGTTGGGGCATGCTACTTAACAGTCACAGAGAAATGTGGCTATCTGGCAGCAGCAACCAGCTACTAACAAGACAAGAAGTGCTTCAGGGTTAGATTAAGGGGCGCTTAAGATGGCTGGACAGAAACACTAAAGAGTCACTAAATACTGAGAACACTAAAGAAAAAAAGCAGTTTGGTTATTTACAGTGTGGTCTCGTGAACACCAGCAGGCCTGCAGCACCATGTGTGTTGTCAAACCACATTACATGCATTTAGAGTGACACTGCAGAGACTTTCTATTGTCTAAGAGCTACTGACATAGTGAAACCACAGTGTTTGCATTGAGACCCAAAATAGTGCTTATTTGACTGTCAGCATCACGAGAGAAACAACCAGATAATGATGGATCTGCTGGGATGCTTCACATCCTCATACCAACAAACTGAGTGTAAGAGCAGCCACTTCAGAAGTTAAAACTGGTGAAGGACATACCACATGCTCGTCTGTGCACTTATCGACCATGCAATACTTAACTAGTATATGAATGTCAGGAACAATTTAGGGGCTATGCAGGTTACGGGCAACAAAACATAAAAGACATCCGGCTATTTGTTGTTCATCCAGATCCCTTTGGTCAAAATTTTAATCCTCACACACCTCATTTAATGTTCAACTCTACACATGAAAAAGAAGCCAAAAGCAGATATTTCTCCCCTCAGCTTAACACTTGAAGCTTTCATTTTTCTGACAGTAAACACAGAAATCCCAAACTACAACACGCCAAAATTTTATAGATTAGCTTAACGGCACATTTTAAGCTCAGCCATACAGCAGAGTTTCATGTTTACGGTGTTAACAGGACTAATGTTTGCTCATAGCTGTGCATGCAGCCCCACCTTGGCCTATTACTAAAGCAGGATTACTGAGAGCAAAGCAAATGTTACAGAAGAGCCAGCGACACACCCTCATCCTTTCTTGTTGGCGTCAAAAGCCACAATTAGATAGAGCAAACAAGCTGAGCAGGAGACAAATCTCGCATTGATAGGTAGAGGCAACAGGCCATTGAGCCAACATCATAAAGTGAGCACAAAAAAGGTCATGGCTTCCACTTAAACTGGATATATTTAATTTCCAGTGGGCACGATCTAGTAAGAAGTAACTATAGTCATTAACGTGAAAGGACTGTTGTGCAAGATATGAAATACAACATATTGTCAAGTGTAATTTCTGTAACATGCTGCCAAAAAAGTGAACATCTGGCTGTCAAAATAAATAAATAAATAAAAAATTAATTTGGCGATACACACAGGGTTAGCATGGCTACTGGAACACTTGGCTCAATGATTTCAGGAGTCACACATATTTTACTGGTGCAACTTTCTGTTTTGCTCTCCCTCTGAAAGGCATTTCTATAGATGAGGGGGAGGAAGCGGCCTTTGAACACGATCCTATCAGAGCCTCTCTCCGGCGTAGTTGGACTGTTTGTATGCAGAGGTGAGGTAGTGCGGTGGTGGCTGAAACAAACTCCGATAAGAGGAGCAAGGAGTGTCAGGGCAGTCCCTCTTGGCAACTGTTTAAACACACACTTACACTGCAGCATGTTTTGTCACACAAAGTGTTGTAACTTTTGTGACTGGGCCAAAATTATGGGGGCCATCTTCTGCCACAAGTTTGGAGGTTGGAGTTTAAGTATTGCCTTAAATAAAGTACCTTTCCTTGAGTTTATATGAACTTTATTATTAGTTTGCAGTGACCTAATTTCCTAAACATCACATAAACAAGAAATTCAGCTTTGTCTTGCAGCGAAGGGATAAAGAAAAAGGGTTTCTGGTGGTACTGGTTATCAGTATGTGAAATATTCACAAACATGCACACAGTAACTCTTCTGACACAGCAGAGCCTGTTGACTCACTGCACTATCAGGATCAAATCAAACTCTGCAGGAATGCAAATACATTCGTCAACAGATGTGTTTTTCTTGGGGCTGACACTAATCACAAATATTTGTAATCAAGAGACCAGTGATGCAGTGATGAACTTTTCTAACTGATATACATTTGTAGTAAAAAATTAGTGGTGAAAAATTACTTTTGTTTTACAAATGTTTAAATAAAAGGGAAAGTTTCTCCATTTATCTCTCAGTGTCGAACTACTAACTATTACTCATGACAGGTAACCAATCAGATGGTGCTGTGGGTGGGACGTTGCTCAAGACCAGAAAGTGGTCACGACTGAGCTTCGTCACAGCTAAACATTTATTTTATCTGGAAGGGATCCAAAATTACATCCTTTCAACAATGTGTTGGTCTGTACTGGAAAATAGTCGTCTTTTAAGATCTTCTATTTATAGAAACGCTAGCTAGACATTCTGGTCTTAGGTGTGTTGATGCAAATCAGAGCAATTTGTGTTGTGCAACCTTTAACTGAAACATTAAAATCCCAGTTGTGTGAAACATCTTTAATGTGAACCAACATGTGAACCATGTCACAAGATGGCTCCCTTTGTAAGTGAGCGCCAAGCATTAGTAACTTAAATCAAAGTGTAATTTGGGAAGAAGACTTCTGGCTATGGTCCAAAACTGTTGAAAAATCTTTAGATAATGAGCATATAAATGCAATGTTTCACAACCATGTCTGTTAAGTCTCACATTACATGCAACACACCACAGGCTGCAACATGCTGTCAGTGCCCCGACTGAAGTCAAGTCTGTACAGTCAGCAGCAGCGTGACTACAGCTAAACCGTCCATCAGTCAACTGCACAGAACCAAAACAAACTGTATGCAACATAATGTGATATGTTACTGTGATTGCAGCGTCACAGCTGCAATCATAAAACACATGTTGGAGTACTTGGATGTCGGCTATATCATCTTATACATCAATTTATTCCTGATACACATAATTTAGTATTAAAACTCAGATTGTATGTGTATTTTTAGGATTGACATTTGACTGCTCTACTTCAACTGAAAACTCACATCTCAATAGCAAATCCCACAATAGAGAGGCTTGAAAATAAACGGTACGTGTTGTTGTTGGATCTGGCTGCCATATAATGACTTTCATGCACTGGAAGTAGGAAGCTCGAAACAAAAGTTAATATTTAATTCATGTTATTTAAATTCAGCTTTGTAGAGCTTCTATCGCAGTTCAGCATAATGTGGGAGCTTTAGGGCAAATCAACCTGAGCTGCAGCGCATGGTTGAGGAAAAAAAAAAATCAGGTGGGACTGAACATGCCCTGATATCCATTTTTACAACTTAAAGTAGGGGCATTTGCAGTATTTAATAAACATATAGTTTGCACTCATTTCGTAATGTGAATCATTGCTGTGTAAGGGAAAAGCACTATGCAAAACATGTCAGTAGGCCACATGCAGGAACACTGACACAGTGACTGAATGTAACAGAAAATGGACAGTGGTTTCTTTCTCAGATGGCACCGACATGTAAAGCAACAAAAACACGTGCAAACCCAAATGCTAAATATTAGGCGTTCCCTGTCACAGTGATGTGGCGTATATCTGGCAAACTACATGGGAGCCGAGTGTATAACAGCCCTGCTAATCTCTCCAGCTCTCTCTACCTTAATAAATCTTTCACCAAAGAAAAGCAACAGACGTCCTTGGGGGCTCAGACCACACAGGTCAATACGACAAGCCCACCAATAAGAGACAGCTGCTTGTTTCCCGTCTATTGCTGAATAAGTTGGAACGGGCCAACACATTTACAAAAACAACTTTGAACTATGTGCTTTAAACTGCAGCGCCATACAACGCTTCCAACTATTCGGACAATTTTGATTTGCTTTTCTTCCCCCGTATCAGCCAGGATAAAACTAATCTTGGAGTGCCCAATAGTAAGAGAAAGTTAGCAGTGAGACAAAGGTATGAGAGGAACAAACTGATTGCTTGGGTTAATATTTGAAGGTTCAGCACACAATCTAACCTAGAGAGGCTGAAGTCTTACCCTGTATGTATGCGTAAGGCGCAAATGACATCGGCGTTCAGGCTTAACTCCTGTGAAATTCTAACTGTTGTGTGCTACGCGTTGAATTTAATAACCACATCATTGCTGTAAAGCCCCAGAAAGAATATGAGAAAAAGAGACAAGAAAATAGATTATCCAAACAAACCTGAAAGCGCATGCACTGCATTCATTCCACAGCAGCACTAATATCAACACCAACACACTGGTCAGGCATGATAATGAGAGGTTTTCAAACTGTAAAGTATTGCACGGGTAAGAACGGTGCAAACAAACACCACTGCAAGGGTGGCTGAAAAACATGTTTGGCAACATAAGCACTCATGTCAAAATAAACTTTGTGACAGGGAGGACCAAGACAGCAAATTCACATGTTGTCATACAGAGGTAAAGACCCTGATCTGACAAGCATCGCCTCCTCTCCGTCCTGCAGCCTAAAACAGAGGTGCGGTCCCTGGTAAACATTCCGCCTTCCAGATGTCTGCAGCGTGCATCAGGCTGAGACAAGACTAGACCTGCGACTCCTCCTTATCTCCAGACACCTCAGGCTCTGCCCATCCTAGCTCCTGAGCTTCTACAAAACTGTCAGCAGAGTTTAATTGTCAAGGCCGAACCAATGACACATCTCAGCCAGGTGGAGGCCCATTTATTCTCAAAGGTCAAATGGGAAATTTGACGCTCTTCACATTAGCTTACAGCTTAATACCCCAGTCAGGCTTGTCGTGTCACATCTCGCTCCCGGCAAAAACTGTCAGAGGAAAGTTTTCTTGGTTTAATAAGTTTCTGAACTCCTTATAATGTTAGAAACGGCACAGAGGTTTTACTGTATAAATTGAATACATTGGTGAAAGATTTCAAACTTTGCGGCACACCACAACTTTAATGTGCTATTTTTTTTAAATTAAAAAGACATGAATATTCCCTGTGGAGATGAATTAGATATTGATCGGTGAGACTCACCTGTTGCAGAACTTTGTCCAGAGGCTCAGCTTTGACTATGTCTTCCAGAGTCAGTCCTATCTCCTCTTTACACTGGTCTGTCAGCTCCAAAGAGTCTGGCTTAACATAACATTTATGAAGCTCCCCGACCTGTGGAGGGATTTAGCATTTCATGGCACAGAATCCAGTTTTAAAAAAAAATCTAATTAACGGAAATTACTGATGTAAAAAAAGTGATCATCTGCCAAAAATTGATCACCCAGTTTATATACATCTACAGCTGCTTTTGTCTGGATCGAACAGTCACAACATGCACAAAACTTTAAGTGTTTGGTAAAAAACAAAGCTACACTTTATTGGTTCTTGCAACCAAACAATTGCGACAAAAAAAAAAAAAATTTGCATAATCAGGCAGATAATGTGTTTGATACGTCTAAAATCTAAGGTAATATTTGGAAACTAAACGACAATTAACTTGATTTACAGATGTTATTGCACGTTCTTATCCTATGGGCTATAATCTTGAAAACATAAACCTGAAGTCAAGTTGATGCATTAAAAGCATTTTGGCCACGAGGTACTTTTTTGGCAAGTAGAAAACTGCATGATATGAGTTGAATTGGTTCTTTAAAGCCTTTTATCCTGTAAAAAGAACTGAAGTGGTTATAATGAAGAGCAAAGAACAGGTAAAACAAGTCATGAGATTAATTGCAAATGCCTTTATGACCCTTTGACCCAGATCAAAGCAGCTGTGAATGTACATAAACCCAATAAATCCGTTTCTGGCAGACGACCACTTTTAGCAATGACACCCCCCACATCAAGAAAATTAACTCTTTAACATACAATTGACAATGTAGTTGCACAAAAAGCACTTAATTGTCAAAATAAAGCGTCGTTTACATCGACAAGCTGACATGCTAAACCAAAAAGGTGTGTTTTTTCTCCTTTGGGTGAAGCCACATCTCTCAGCTGCTCGTTAAATTTCACTCGCACACCTGTTAAAAGGTGAGCTAACGCCGGAGAGCTGATGTAGCGCCTAGCTAGCACGACAGACGGCTACACAGAGAAACACCGTGTTGGTTTAAATGTCAAACACTGGTCCTCTACAGGTAGACACTATGCCACAAACACTCTGGCTACACAAGAAACCGTACAACGAACGAAGGGGTCAGAAAGGTCCGTACCTTTTTCTCATGTAGATCCACAATTTGCCACACCAAGAGAATTATTTCCCTCTCATCCGAACCCAGTTTACCCCCATTTGCACCAGCTGTTGCCCCAAAGAACACCACCAGAGTATCACTGTGCGAAGCCATCAGGGACCACAAGGGTAAAAACTACAATTAAAGCAAAGATTAAAATAAAAATAACACGAGGGTTCACCTTTTTCCAAGTGATAAGAAGAGCGAACAAAAGGACTGGAAACTCAATTGAGATAAACGGAGAGAGAGAGAAACAGGGGGAGAGATTATTTTTCAGAGGAGTCACGGAAGAGTTTGCGGTCAGAGACACTACCTGTTGCTGTACTTGAGAGTGTTCTATCCAGAGATACTGGTTTAACTGGTAAAGAAGGGTGGAAATCCGTGTGCCTTTCACACGAACTCCATAACAAGCCCCGGACTTTTTTTTTTTTCCTCCTCTCCTTTCTATTTTTTTCTCCGAGTTACCTGTGTGGCTCGGCCTCTGTGCGAGACGAGTCACAGCGGCGGCGTCTATTGGCTGGTTTGTAAAGGTGAGGGCGGGACGATGAGGTGAGTGCTGTGATCTCATTGGTCACGTATGTTGAATCAGGAAGTAGTACAGCTAAAGAGAGCTGCGTTACTTCCATGAGGCATGTCCGTGTAGCCTGCTGATTATGATAGCGATAGTGAAGGAAAAATGAACAGGAGCCTAGTGGTAAGTGAAGAACACACACACACACACACACCATGGGTAGACTTTGTTATTATTGTTAAAGTGTTTGTGCTTATAAAGCATTATTCTTTGCCATTAAAATTACTTTTGTGTTAATTTTCCCAAAACAAAATCATCAAACCTATAATTTAAAAAAAACAACAACAACAACAAACAAACATACACAATCATGCTTCTGACAATATAGAACTTCTTGCCCTCACAGAAAATAGGAAGAGTTCATTTGCAAAAACAGATAACTCCATCTTCACAAACCTTCAGAAAACCCACTTTTCCATCGTCTACCTGAGACAATATCAATCAAACTTAAGTTGTCTATATTTTTGTCATGTTATTTCTACTGAGTCAAATCCACTCAACTTCAGTTTGATTGATATTATCTCAAGCAAACAATAACAACAACAAAAAGTTTTCTGAAAATCTACAAAAATGGAGTTATATATTTTTGCAAATGAGCTCTTCATATGCTAAATGTCTCCAACAAGTGCTCCCCTTCCTTGTGTAAAAGCAGCATTTTGGCCAAAGTGAACCAATCAGAATTGCTTCATGCCTCACTGTTGGTTTGATGCACATCATTGATTGTGGAAACTACTATTGTCAGTACACATCAGAGGTCTTGTAGACAATGAATATTGCGGCAGCTAGTGGTCGCTTTTCACTTCACCTGAGCTCATTCAACATTAAAATGACATTTTGCAGCATTTACACTGATTTGACATATTGTCATTTTCTTTCCAAAATCAAAGTTGTCCTCTTGCAATGGGCATCATTTAAACTTTAAGTGATGCACACGCAACACCCAACACATTGCATATCAAAACAAACAAAATATAACTTCACAGGTCCCCACTGGCTTGGTGGAGTTTTCACTAGTCTTTGGCCCAGTTCCCAGAATGCCGTGTTTTGTTGTTCGTGACACTCCCTTCTCTGCTCGCTATGGGCCAACTCACTGCAGTGAATACAAGGCTTTTTGTCTATTCATCTCCTTTCACTCAATTAAATCCTCCAATCTCGAGAGTAATTCCTTGTGTCTCCTTCCTTGTGTGAAATCACTATTTCCAGCTGAATCAGTCTGATGACTTGAGGGACACACACTTCAAAAGTCAGGAACTGAAATTTTACATCCATAAGGATATTCCAGCACACCACAGAAAAGAACATTTATCTTCATGACGTCACATAGTGTGCATGTTCATACATGCACGCTGTCGGTGGCAGTAAAGTGACAGGCTAAGTTTTTCCTTCATCAGGTATGATTAGAAGTTGAGATGACAACTTGTGTCAGCCGCCGCTGTACCCAGAAAACAACTTTCTGTGTACTAAATGATGTATTTTATTTCCATGTGGTGTAAAGTTTCAGGCCTTCCAGGATGCCGGTGGCAAAAGTGCCACCATTGCTGCTCTGTAAACTTCAAGGGTAGTTAAGACTTGTGGCTCAGTTGCACCAATTGGCAGGTCTCCTCCTGTGGTGTATCTTTAGCAAAAGGTAAGTATGGTTTACGTTTAAAGGAATTATAGTAATCACATTTTAAAGGGGAAAAAAAGATCAATTTACTGTGACCTCACTGTGTCACAGTATGTTAAATACCAATGTTATATGTGTGCCTATATTATTTTTACCTTTGTAGTTAATTAGGCCACAATATTTTATTATACAGCAACACTTAAAACCCAACCTAAATGTATTAAGTATGGGGGGATATACTAATTGTGAAATGAGCACACTAGAGGCCCACATCATATTATTTATGCTTCTTCCTCATTCTGTGAGAAAATAAGTAACATGTCTCAGTCGGCTACGTTTTCTTGCGTGATCTCATCTTTGTCACACCCTTTACACCCTGTAATTTTCCGCTGTCACAGTAAAAATAATCCTGACCCACTAATAATCAGGATCCAGTGAAGTGACAAGTGCTGTCACAATAGGTTTATTCAATCCTCGGTTCAAATCATTTTCACGAGCCACAACATACAAATGACACCCCACATTAAAAAAAAAAAAAATCATTAATATGGAATGTCAGCTCTTCCAGATGTCTGAACTTGCAGGACTTGTTGCTCTCTAAAAGAGCGTGAAGTCTTATCAAACTAAAATTCATGTCAGTGAGTTAGACTAAGAGGATTGTAGCATGTCATCAATACTGCTGTGTATTTGGCATATTTGTACTCTAATTTTGTCTATCCATTGTATTTTTCTATCAGGGATTCTGTCATTGCCAGAACAGAGAGCTATAGCCACAGCAGTGTCATGCTACTCGCTCTGTATTCTGTATATACTTTATACGACCAGAGTTATGGGGCATACGTCATGGATCAACTCTGAAGAAAATTTTATAAACTATAGAGAAGGAGTGCCAAATCTTGGTTCCTTCCACCTCTGCGACATGCAGTGGGAAAAGTGAAGTAAAAATATTATTATGGCAACACACTGAAATTGTGTTAAAACTCAATTATCAAAAGCACAGTCAGGTGTGAGAGGCAGCTGTCACTGCCATCTACTGGCTGATCAGTTTCTGTGCCGTCCTGGCAACCTGCTGTAAAAGAGTGAGTTATGAATATCTGTGCATTTAAAAGTATCAGTACATAAGTGGACACTGAAATATCTTGCTGCAAACTGCGAGTTTCAGTTTTATAACACTGTGGCAAACATGAAGACATGATTCCGCTTTTTGCTGCTGAACAAAGGAAACATGCAGTTTTTCATTTGGCAATCTTTTCTTGAGGGGAAGTTGAAAGCACGACTTTTGTCTGTAGTGGGATACCAGGACAGCTGTTAGCAAATCTGTCACGAGTGAAAAACAATTTTGTTCTAGTTGTAACTTTTGGATTCTCAAACAGATTAAAACAGCATTATATGGGGATTTAACAGAGTTTGTCAACTTGAGTTCACAGTTGCAATCTGATTGTCTTGACGGATGTTACACTTCACCGTTAAAGAGGAAGGAGAAATAAAAGCAGCAAGACAAAAAACATTTTTAAAGCCGTATCTTCATCAAGACAGCTGTCCTGACAGGCCTGCGTGAACTTTTTTCTGTGGTAAAATACATGTATATATATAGGTATAAAAAAGAAGTGGTGCACACAGGATTACAGAACAGAAAACCTGCTGTCCTTTGTTTAATAATGTTCCCACAGGCAAATTTAAAAAAAAAGAAAAAGTTCTGAATCAATAACATAATCATCAATACCATTTCTCCCTCCCCCCCAAAACAAACTATAAAGCTAAAAAATAAAAAAAAATATTTTTACATAAACTTCACACTGAGTCTTTTTCATATCTAATTACTTGTTTTATTTTTGAATGCTAAATGGCATAAATTGTAAAGAAAAGAAAGAAAAGGATATAACATATGTAATATATAACATTTTTATAAATACATGTTCACAATTTAAAAAAACAACAACAAACAAAACATGTAAAATAGGTAATTCACAAAGTTGGACAAGCATTGAACAGCCAAACTCAGATATCTTGTTCATCTGCTGTAATTTCATAGAAAATTAGCTTCATTTCAGGTAAAATTGCTTTCATTTAGAAAATGAATACTACGTACAATGAAATATCTACACAGACACACAGAGCACAGACACTACCTCGAACAATTTCAGTGTCAGGATGGATTATTTTCACACATTTTTATTAGCACACTCATTTGGTCTTTCGATTCAGACACACAATGTGAGCTGTTGGTCTGGTTGCTCTGTCTCTTGGACACAAAGGACACCTCTCTATTTCCCTCACCTGGGGAGGTGCTGGAGATGTGGCGGAAGAGCTTCTGGATGCCGGTGTCTCGCAGGGAGCTCCTGAAGGAGCGAGCTGCGAACATGTAGAGAATGGGGTTAATGGTGCTGCTGATGAAGACCATGGCTCCAGCGACAAAAGCCATGGTGCTCCTGACACTTTCCAGATTTTGTGCTGCATCACTGAAGGAGTCCTCAGTGGCCAGGATGATGAGTGAAAGGATATTTCCGATCTGATGAGGTGTCCAACAAATGCCAAATGCAATCACTACACTGAAAATCAAAACAGTGGACTTGCGTTTGGACTTGAAGGTCATTTGAGTAATCCGGCTGCAGAGGCAGCCATAGCAGACCACAAGGATGGAGAAGGGTATTATATAGCCCACCAGCGTCTCTAGCAGCACACACACCAGCTCCTGGGCCACAGAGGTGTACAGACGATACAGACAGTGCTCCCCATCTGAATCCTTCTCCACAACCTGAGTTGGGATGACAGGTATGCTGAACAAGAAAGCCGCAATCCACAGAGCCAGCAGTACTTTATTCAGAGCTTGTTTTCTCTTCCAGTCAGCCGAGGCGAAGGGATAGCGCACGGCCACGAAACGCTCCACACTCATGAGGGTGATGAGGAAAACACTGCTATACATACAGGCGTTGATCATGAACACCATGGCTTTACAGGAGGCCTCTCCAAACACCCAGGAGTGGGCGAGGGAGTAGATCCACAGCGGCAGGGTGATGAGGACAAGCAGGTCTGCAGCAGCCAGGTGCAGGATGAGGATCACAGTGTGGGAACGCTTCTTAACATGTCTCAGGATAGTCCAGATCACCAGCAGGTTCCCTGGAGCTCCAAGCAGGAAGGACAGACCCAGGATCACACAAGCCACTGCTGTTCCACCATCAAACTCCTCAGGGGCCATTTCCTCTGGAGGAGAAAGCTCAGCTGTGTGGTTCATGCTGCGAGTGTATGTGCTGACTGTGGTGTCTGCATGAAAAGAAAGACAAATTGCTGTACAAGTAAGTCTTCACTTCCCTTTAAGTATAGACTGCACAAGAGCAGGGTTTCCTCTCTGGGCTTTTTTAGACACACAGAGGTGATTCATGCATGCACAATCCTTTTTTTTTCACCTCAGGTCATGGTTTATGGTTTTAAAAAAAAAGTGTTTAAAGAGTGATATAATAAATCCTTTGACAGAAATTGAAATGAATTAAAAACAGAAATGACCTCAGTGAGACCAACTCTCTGGAAATAATAACATTATTAGAATACATATAGTGGCCATGTGCAAAAGTTGCAGAGTTTTCAATTTGACTCATATGAAAAACAGCATCACTGTTAGATATCTGGTAAAGAGCTATTTACAAAACGTGATTGTTCATTATTTTGTTTGTCACATCAGAATTATAGAATTACTGAAGGGTTTAGAACTAGTGCCCTTGATCATTTTCAGTGTTTTATTTCACTCAAGAGCTGCACTATAGTAGAAGTAAGTATATAGTAGTAGACATCACAATTAAAAAAAACTACAAATCATTAACACAATCAATACAATTTCTTTTAATTGGCATCAACAAAAAAGAAAAAAATACAATATTTTTACATAAACTTTACAAATTTTCACAGCATTTTATTTTTGAATGCTTAATGGTATAAATTGTGCAGAAACAGATATGAAGTATGTTCACATTTTATATTTATGTTTTCACAAGGTTAAAAAAACAACAGCACGTAAAATTAGTAAATTACAAAGTTGTGCAGTAGAAACTACCCTCGTGTTGTTTTATTCCAGAGGGAGGAGGTTCTTTCATTGAGAGAAGTGGGTCAGAGAGTATGCTTGAAATATGTGAGTCAAAGGTATTACAGCCGTCAGTCTATAGTGTTTCCAAAGACTATGTCATGTGGCTGAGTGGGAATACCTGATTCATGCTTAATATAAAATACTGCAGTATTTATTTTTTAAGAAATGTATTTTAATTTTAATTTAAAGTAGGCATTTAAATCATTAAAAGTGAAATGTGGAGCATTTTCTTTTTCTTTCTTTTTTTTTCTCAAGCAGGACAACAAACAAATCTTTAATTATAATTGCAAACCACTTTATACAACACTGAACAGTACAAATTTTAAAACGTTTCAACAAAGTATAAACAACAACCATTAGTTATAAATGTTCCTAAAACCACAAGATCATAATCATAAGTTTGGCTGTGTTGGGTCAATCTGAAACAACAACAGGATGGTACACTACGTGGTGATGATATAAATTACAACACACTGTCCCACTGGATCAAATAAAGTGTAGTCTCCTAATTAACTGCAAAAGACGTGTGTCACATTTTCCTGTCATCGCATCTTCAGGGATTCCCAATGTTTTTCTCACACAGAGAGTCCAACACCAGCTCTGATTGTGTATTTGCTGCCATCTGGCCAGTCTGTTGTTGTACTGCCGTCTCCCTGAGTTTGTTTGTGTGAGTAGTTATTTCCTGAAACAGCCTGACCAGTTGGGACACCTCAAAACTGCCTTGGAAGTTCCTTGCAAAGAAGACATACAACACAGGATTCACTGAACTGCTGATGAAAACAAGGGCACCAGAGCTAAAGACAACACTCTTCGGAACACATTCATGTTCTGCGCCGGATCCTAGAATGCAAACCAGATCAATAATGTTAATAATGTGGTAAGGCAGCCAGCACAGTGTGAAGGCAATCACCACAGTGTGGACAAGAACCATGGATTTCTGTTTGGAGTTGAAAGTCATTTTCCTGAGCTGCACAGCTACAAGACAGTAACAAACACTAAGAATGATGAAAGGAACTACAAAGCCCCCAAAGATCTCCAGGCATAAGAAGATGATTGCATGGGTCAAAGAGCTGATTTCCATGGAAAGACACTGCTCAGCTCCATCGCTTTCATCCACTGCCCGGGTCAGTAGGGCAGGCACTCCCAGAAGCAGAGCAAGGAGCCACAAAAGTGCAAGAAATCTGTTCATGATGCTCTTGGTCTTCCAGCGCATCATCACAAATGGATGACAGATGGCTAGATAGCGCTCCACGCTAATGAGGGTGATGAAGAAGATGCTGCTAAACATGCACACATAGACAATGTACACCAAGGCCTTGCAAAAATGTTCTCCAAACACCCAGGAGTGGACCAGAGAGTAGATCCACAGAGGCAGGGTGATGAGGACGAGCAGGTCTGAAGCAGCCAGGTGCAGAAGGAGCACTACAGTGTGGGAGCGCTGCTTAACATGTCTCAGGATAGTCCAGATCACCAGCAGGTTCCCCGGAGCTCCAACCAGGAAGGACAGACCCAGGATCACACAAGCCACTGCTGTCCCACCATCAAACTCCTCAGGGACCTCTGAAGAAGACAGCTCCACTGAATGGTTCATGCTGCGAGTGTATGTGCTGACTGTGGTGTCTGCATGAAGAACGAAACAAAGTGCTGTTTAAGCAAGGCGTCACTTCCCTTTATGGATACATTTAACAGGAACCAGGTTTCTAGCATGGCATTCTGAACGTCACTGACGTGGCTCTCAGAACATGAATCAGAGGACAATCAACAAGAAATTAGTCAATCAACTGATATTTGCCAATAAACTTTCTTGCTTTCTTAACCATTTGATGTATTTTCATAAGCTGGTGGCATTCATAAGAATTTTCTTTAATCATGTGTTGGTAAGAGTCTTTACTGCTGATATATGACAGAACACGTCAGGGACAACTTGAGTATTTATGTATCTGTAGATTAAATTATCTTGTATGACCGACACAAAAGTCAAAGGTCTTTCATAGTTCTTTTCAAATCCATATCACTGTCAGAGGCTCAACTTTCCTACTTCTCAAGTAATCATCTCTAGCTTTGTGACAGTAATTATCCATATTTCGCTTTTCTCCTTCAACGGACATCTACTTCAGTAGTTAATTATTACCGTCATTTTCCGTTTAAGGCAGGGGTGTCGAACTCTGGTCCTCGAGGGCCGCAATCCTGCATGTTTTAGATGTTTCCCTCTTCCAACACAGCTGATTCAAATGATCAGCTCATCATCAAGCTCTGCAGAAGCCTGATAACGATCCTGATCATTTGAATGAGGTGTGTTGGAAGAGGGAAACATCTAAAACTTGCAGGATTGTGGCCCTCGAGGACCAGGATTCGACACCCTTGGTTTAAGGGATATAATCAAAATTATTCTTGAGCCTATCCTCCCTCGTCATTCATCATCTTTTATTTTCACAATCATGTGTTTGCTGTTAATACTGTTAAGGAAATGAAGCATCGTTCATTTTGTAAATGACTCCTTCCATTGACACAGTTTCGATTTGAAGACCAGTGGAACGTTTTCCTGTTATCTCATATTCGTCTTGTGAAAGGCTGACAGCAGAGCTGTACGACTATGCTTTCAATTTCAATTCTTACTTCTACTGAAGTTGCTCAAGTCCGGCAGTAAGAGTTTACGATTTCATTATCTCACTTTTCCACCTAGTTCCTCAGTGGCGATGTGCTTTACACCAGACTGTCATGTCTACAGTGGTTTTAGTTTGTAATACATTTAGGCTGTGTAGGAATTCCCCTTGCAGCTGTGTGTGGCTTGAAAAACTGACCACTTTGGGATTTTCAGCATGTTTTCAAAGTAAATTCAACACAGTTTGCGGCTGTGCTGAAATGTCATCCTTTCATGTTCATTTGCAGTAATTGCTGTTCCTGAAATGAGGCTGTAACAGCAGATGAGATGGTTGATGAAAAATACCTGCTATGATACTTATTTTCCATTTTATTTATTTTTTTACACTATCTATTTAAGAGCAATGGTCCATCTGAATGATAAAACAAATACATCTAGATATGTCTGAGCCACAGCACATAGTCATTTCAAAATCGGTAGTGATATCATAATCCTAAAAGACTAAAAGAAAGCTCTGAAGATGCTCCTGCCTGCAAAACTAACTATAGCCTTTATCTGTAATTAGCTAAGTTGTATGTTAAAGCTTTAGGATTTTTTAAACTTGTATTGACTCACACCTGAGTTGCTGTGAAGCAGCTGTTGAATCCAAAATCCTCTCGGCGCAGCTGTTTCTGAGGTTGGACTTAAGCCTGTTGCAGACCTGGTTCAGTTGAAGTTTATAGAGTGAACTGTGAGAGCAGGTTCATACAACTTAGACTAATTTATTAATTTTGAAATAAATGTAGCATTCAAAGAAAAAAAATACTCACATGTGTTGTCAGATCAGCTCCCACCACACTTTTACTGTAAACTGATGCTGCATATGTCACACATTACTGAGTGTTCCTGATGAGTGTGTAAGTGATAAATGCTCTCCCCTCCCAGTTTTTTTTTTTTTACAAGTTGCCTTGTGATTGTTGACTAGCTGATTAAGTGACATTGTTCTAAATATTTCAATTACATCACATCATAGCACACTTGCACCTTTGTTCCCTTTGACCTGCTGCAGTAGATAACTGTGATGGAACTAGTCTACACTTGCAGTTATAGGCTGTAAATCATAAAAACATGTAACCCTGTTCTCTAATTGTAATTACTTTTTTAACTGTACCAATGCAGCTTTGCTTTTTAAAAATAAAATCATCTGGCCTGTATAAATAAAGTTCCTATATTGAATTTAGGTTTAAGTGAGACTACAGTTCAGAAACAGCGGCCTCTACAGGAGTTTGTTGGTAGTTTCCACAGGACATATCAATGGGGTTAAAGTGATCACGTGGCCTTGATCTAGACAATATAGATTTAAACCCATCCTAACCTTAAAACTCCAGCTGAGCAGCAGCCACAGAATGTAATGCATTTAAAACACATGTATTTATTTATTTATTTATTTTTTAAAGAAAGAGGACACCCTCACAGGCATTTAAAAACAAACAAACAAGAAAAAAAAACATGATGGTTAGTTTCAGTATCTAGCTAAATAAAGTGTGTGATATGTGTGTAGATTTTAGGTGAAGTATAGTTTTTTCTTTTTTCTTTATTTTGTCTTGCAACAAAAATAAAGAAGCGTTTTTTCTCGTCTATTCTAGCAACTCTATACCCTCAAATAGTTCTCCAGGACATAACTGAAATTAAAGCTAAATATTAGAAAAGAATGCAACATATTTTTTATTTGAGCTGTCAAAGTGAAAAGATGTTTTTATTCACTGTGGCTTTAAAGTTGTTGTGATGACGTTACTACCCTGCGCTAAGAAGAAAGCCAGCCTTCAGCCAGCTGCCTGCTCCGCGAAATAAACATGGCGAGCTTGTCAACTACGATGGCCTCAGTGCTGCAGCACTAAAAGTACACCACTAAACACGATAAGGGACGCTGGATATTGTGTTTAACCAAATTTGTGACAAACTGTAAGTGACGATTTAATACGAGCCTGGTGTTCGGTGCTTGCTAACACTGGCTAGCTACGTAGCTAATATGAGCTAACAAGTAAGCTAGTATTAGGTAACGTTAGCCAGGTAAATAACTAATGTCAGGGGCGTGAACTCCCTTTATTTAGCATTGGCTTTACTAACGTATTGCTCTGGAGTATTAGTTGCCAGTTTGGTCGACGAGCCACCTTTTTCACTTTCTTTGGCTGGTGTATGCTAACATTTGAACACTTCACCTACGAGCGTTAAATACGGTTGTAATTTGCTCCCTTCCCAGCTCAGAAGCTAATGGGAAGTTAGCCTCGCCTGGGAACTGAGAGTGCGTTACCCAACGTCTCCGGCTAGCCTTTGTATTTTAACTTATAAACTAACAAGATAATTCTGTACTACGTCCTCCCCCAACCGTGTATTTCAAAGTCAGCGTTGAATCCTATAGCAGATGTTTAGACGAAATAGCTCAGATCGTATGCTAGCATTGTTATGTAATGTTCACGTATAATTCTGTAAAGTTTGGCTAACGTGAGCTAACTCACGCCTGCCTTCACAGGTTGCTGGACTGACACCATTTTCACACACTTCGAAGTGGACCGTGACCACTGCAATGCCTCTGCTGTTTTTGGAGAGGTTTCCTTGGCCCAGCCTGCAGACCTACACAGCACTGAGTGTGGCTTTGCTTGCTGGCAGCATCTTCAGCGCCTACACCACTGTAACCGACCCGGGGTTTGGGGCCTTGGAAACTGATGAAACACAAGCTCCCTCTGAAGTGGATCTTGAGCATCTAAACAATGATATTAGTAACACAGAACTGGCCACAACTGTCCTGTGGTATCTTGTGACTGACAGTCTCTTTGTATGGGTGAGTGTCATCAACTTTATGAGTTTGCAGAGTGTGATAAGATGATGAAACTAATGGTCCCTTTGTTCTCTGTGCTCTCATAGGTGTTGGTCAACACATTCTGCTGCTCCTTGATGTTAATTGCTAAAATGATTCAGTATGTGGTGTTTGGGCCGCTTAGAGTCAGTGAGAAGCAGGTGAGTGTTTATTTAGTACTGTTAGGATAATAAATGTCTGGGGTTGTAAACCTCTTTCAAAATGAGGCACCAAATATACTTTCAGATTATACTGAGCATAGAGCTGTTAGGAAGAGGCATCTCATCCACTCTCTGTTTATTCCTCAGCACCTCAAAGATAAGTTCTGGAACTTCATCTTCTACAAGTTTATTTTCATCTTTGGCGTATTGAACGTGCAAACAGTGGAGGAGGTGGTCATGTGGTGCTTGTGGTTCTCTGCCCTGGTCTTTCTCCACCTCATGGTTCAGCTCTGCAAAGACCGTTTTGAATATGTAAGTATTGTGAAGGAAATTGTTGTTTTTTCACACTTTGTAGTGCCCCAAACCTAGATACTTATCACGGTCTGGACAACAAAAATAAAAAAATATACTGAATTATTGACATTCACAACAGCCCAAATGCTGTCTTATCTCAATTTTCAGTCAATATTTTGAATCAGGCCAATTCAAATTTGAATAACTACATCAACCAATGATATGCTTCCAGATGTGTAACAAATGTCAAACTCTGGAATATTTCCTGGGACTTATCATAGGGAATAGATTTCAGTATATCAGAAGCAAGTTATTTATTTTGTGGATTTTTAAATATGGAACATTAGATTTTTTTTATTCATTGTTAGGTCAGTTCATCTAGTTTTATAGTGACAGAACTACTCTTTAAGCTTATTTGTCTGGAAAAGAAACCTCTCTAAGGATCTCTGTGTCAAGTTACAGGACACTGTTGTCATGGGTATCTGTAGATTGTTCCCTTCTCACTATAGAGCTATCAAGCTCCTAAAAGTTGCTTTTTACGGGAGGGTGCACATGTCACTTCAGAAATGTCAGCTAGAAACTGATACCAACGTTCTTACCACATTACCATTCCTATGTAGAAGCAAGTTTTAGATACAAAGAAACCTGAGTTCCTTTTGGGGTCACTGGAAAAAGCCAGTATGGCATTGAGCAAGTATCAGGATCAAGGGCTTATTTGCAAAAGTGTACATTTAGAACATGCTTTGTCTATTTATTTCCTTTGAGATGTTACAGGGTTTACTACAAAAATGGAGAAGCGCTCATTTTGGTAGGGTTTTGTTCTTTTTACCATGGCATCAATGAAAAAGTGCCTCATTGACACTGTTGAGTACATCAAGACTTGTTTGTGTAAAGCATACAAGTGTTGGCGGGAATGCAAGAGGAGCATCAATATATATGTGTAGATAGAGCCAGGAGTGTGTGTCATGTACGCCATGTTTGTGTGTTGTTATCTGTATGTTTCTATAGGTACAGGCTGTGAAAGCACGTCTATGTTTGGCACAACAAAGACAGGCCATCTGATAAAAAGTTTAAATCGTCCGATTATCTTTAGGGTCAATTTGACACCATTCAGTGTTTAAAATCTCTAAATACATCATTGACATAATTTTTTCAGTTTTATTTAGAGGGCTATTTACACATAAACTTGGCTAACAATTTTAATTACGATGTTTTCTTGAGGTTTAATTGCTAGGGTCAAATTAAACCCAAGGATAAAACAAATTTGAAGGAAATAGGAGGGTTTAATCCCTCTATATAAAACTGGTTCCTATATAGGTTACACAGTTAACATGATAGGACTAGACCTACATTTTTTTGCAGCTGGCTTGTTACCCGTGAGGACTGAGAGTAAATGCAGAGTAATAAAACACCTGGCATTGGATGACTCCTAATAAACAAACCTACACACACTCTATAGCGACCTTTTTAAAAGGTGAGCTCAATGCCACCAAAAAGTCTTGAGCACAACTGTACTCTTTTCACCTCCGGATCTATTAATAGTTCCTTGTGCTGGCATGTTTGACTACTGATACAGTTTCAGTGGCAACATTGACATATCCTTGTATCAGACTGTGCTCTGCATGTTGGGGAAAACAAAATATCAAATTTAATTGCCTTCTTGCAAGCAGTCACATTTAAAATTGACTTTAAGTTTGTATGTTAGCTATGATGTAATGCTTACTGACACCAGAAAGTAATTTCTGCTCGTGTTTATGTGAAAATAGACCCGTTTCTTTGAATAGCTTGTGCCGGTGTTTAAACATGTAGTTGTGTGGTAATCTTTGTTCCTTTCTCTCAGCTTTGACCGTAGATCCACTTTTATTCATGTTCTTAGTCAGTTGTGCTCACCCAGCTGTCTTCCTTCCTGTTTCCTTGTCACTGCGGGTTCCAGCTTTGGGGTACAGATAACACATATAGATTAAACGGCTACAGATAATGATGAAACTTTGCAGGGTAGAACTGAAAACCTGTTTTTGTTCCTCAGCTGCTCTTTTGTAATTAGCCTTAAGTTGTATTCTGTACTTGCTGGACGGTGTCAGCTGTCAGTTTGCAGTCTTAAACAGTGTTTTGACATCACATTGATGTTTAGGGTTTGTGTGTGGGGTATTTATTGATTTAAATGGTTGTGTACATTTGGAAGGGTAAAATTCAAGCATGTTTTCCCCCTCAAGTTACTACAGCAAAAGTGCTCTTTGAGTACGTTACTGAGCCCCATATTAAGTGTTGCACAGCAATGTATCAACAAGTATGTTCTTTGAGGTTTGACTTTTCTTTATTTTGATGTAGGAATGTTCCTGTTTTTAACCGCGTTGTTTGTATGTCATTTAGCGGTTTCCCATGGACAGACCAAGTAATCTATACTATGAAATTGTAAGCATAAAAACAATATGCTTGTTGTACATCCTTTGCCTAAGGATGTTCTTTATAAGTTTATAAATAGTTACAACTAGTCAACTGTATTTGTACAGGGCTACATGAGCAACATTCCCCCCAACCAACACAGGATCTCTAAAAAAAAACATCCCACAAAAGCTCAGGGCTTTAGAAGTGAGAGACATCTGCAAAGAACACAGTATACTCATAACTTGCATCTTTGTCCCTACAGCTGTCTTTCTCCCCCTCCACTCCTATGAACAGCCATGTGCGAGTACTTTGTCTGCTGGTCTCCCTGCTCCTGGACTGTTGTGGCCTGGCTGTAGTGTGTGGTCTGCTGGGAGCTTCCCATGGCATGCACACCCTCTCCTTTATGGCAGCTGAGGTGAGAATCTGTAGTCATAACTGCATAAAAAATGAGTCCTGCTATGTGGACAAAGAAATTGTGACCACACTTTGCACATGTGATTGTGAAGTCTTTACATCTTTTAAGGTTTTCTTTGGGCATATCCATTTACATGTTATTGTCTACATTTAAGCTATGTCTTTTTTATGGTAAATTTATTATTTGATTTATTTATATTAAATAAGAGCAATTAAGACAGACAGGATATATGGTGAAAAAGAGTAGGCAGGTGGTTGGGAATTGAACCAGGGACTTATTGTTGATGGCATTTGTGTTTATGTGATATGAACCCTGACCACATGGCTGTCAGGTCACCCTAGACCTTGAATAGAGTTGAGTAAATAGGTCATTACTTTCAAAAACTGCCTCTTAATTCTTGTTTAAAACCAAGATTCTTGGCCTTTATATTTTTGGTGATTCTTTGCATATTTCCAAACCATGTTGAAAGCAAAAACTGCATTTCGTTTTATCAAAGTATTTACTGAAAAAGACATGCCTCATGTCTTGAAGCAAGAAAAAAAAGTCCCCCCATAAGACAAAATAGTTTTCACACAGTGGTCACATTTTGCAGAATCATTGTTGTGTTGTGTAACGTTTAGTTGCGCTTTTAGTGGTTTGTCTGATGCAACACATATTCATTATGACATGAAGAGCACAGATGTAGTTGATAGCATTGATATTAGTTGCTTTTAATTTAAGTGTGTCAGTTTCAGTTCCCTGGTGTTGTGCATTCTGGCTTCTTATACTTATGACTAGCTGATGAAGTGGAAGCACTATCAGTGTTTTCACTTTACAACTGTGCTTTTTGTTTGGGGGAAAAAGAAACTATTATATGATACAGAAGCTGTTTCCAGAAGGGATTATGTAAGATTTAGTGTGATATTAAACGAAAGAATGATTTTAAAAAACAAAAAAAAAACTGTCAGCATTCAAAGTACAGTGGATTTTGAACTATTTCTTTTAGATGGTCTTTTTAAAGTTCACTGTAATGTCATATTTGGTATTAGACTGTATGGAAAGCAGACTAGAAGACTTGCCTCACTCTCACATGTACGTTTTTCCTCAGTGTCTGCTGGTGACTGTACGCACAGGGCATGTCATCATGCGGTAAGTCTGTTTAAAGCCTCTTTACACGCATGCACATGCACAGACTGCAGCAGTTTGGATGACATAGCCAGTGCAAATTTAGAATCAGGAGGTAATCTTAGCAACACTGTTTGTTTTCCTCTAGTGTGAAAGGCTTCTTTGTCCTAGAGAGTAATTAGTACTTTACAGCCACTCATACCAAGTCTATTCAGCCAGTGCAGTTATACAGTAACTTTAGTTTGACATTTTGTTTTTGCTGCTGTTGCTTTTGCATGTTTGAGGTGACTAACCTCCTGAAAAGATGTTATTGTTTTCTGTTGTTATTTTGGTTTGTTGTTATTTTGGTTAGATTATTTCACTACTGTACATTAAACATGCATCTTGGCTTAAAGGTTTAATACATCAGAAACATTATGTGGCAATTATTACTTTATCTTTGCCAGGTTTTCTTAGTTACTCAGAATATTGCTGTCTCATCTTACTGATGGCCATCTTGTCTGCATTATAGTATCATATGTGTTTGCACAATTGTTTCATGCATTGATTTCTCACTTACCACTACACTCTAAATGTCATCAATATTTCATGACCTGAAAGACTTCTGTCTCACCCCTCAGGTACTCCATCCATCTGTGGGATTTGAACCATCCAGGGACTTGGGAGAGTAAGGGAACGTATGTCTACTACACAGACTTCATAATGGAGCTGGCTATGCTGTTTCTGGACCTCATGCACCATATCCATATGCTGGTAAGACACAGAAATGGGTGTAGGCTTGTCGCATTCCAAACATTTAGTCCCCGTCCCTGCGTCTTTTTATATGCCCCTAATCTTCCACTTTTTCTGTCAACATTTCTCTCCTTAGCTCTTTGGAAACATCTGGCTGTCCATGGCAAGCTTGGTTATCTTCATGCAGCTGCGCTATCTCTTCCATGAGGTCCAGCGCCGTGTCCGCCGACACAAGAACTACCTTCGTGTCATCAACAACATGGAGGCCAGGTGATAATATGTTCTGATTTGACTGTTTTTTAAAAAAATAAAATGTTTACGTTATTCTTTTGTGATTCTGTTTTTTGAACCCACTTTTTTCCTCCAATGAATTCTTCCTATGTCCTGTTGATCATTACTTGTTCCCTAAATATTTGCATATACTGTGGACTTTGCACAGATTTGCTGTTGCTACTGCAGAGGAGCTGGCAGCTAATGATGATGATTGCGCCATCTGCTGGGATACTATGTTGACAGCGCGCAAACTACCCTGCGGCCATCTCTTCCACAAGTAAGGAAGTTGCTGTTTCTATGTATTTTACAGTCCATGCAGGAATTACTGCAGCTCTGACCTGTGAGTGTGTATGTGTGAAGTTTTCTTTAATTACCTGAATAAAGATGGCTCAAAGAGAGACTTCAGGAATAGCAGGCAGCTGGGGCCCTAAAATGAAAGTAAAATTTTTGTACAAATAAATGTTGTAATATAATGATTAACTTTTATGGTGGTTTGTGTGTTTGCAGCTCTTGTTTGCGCTCATGGCTTGAACAGGACACATCATGTCCTACATGCCGGACATCCCTGAACATTAATGGGGATGGGGGCCAGGCGAGAAACCAACCACAGGGCGGAGGCTTAGAGGAGAATATTGGCCCAGTCGGAGCTGCTCCAGACGCTAGACCACATATCAACCAACACAATCACTTCTTCCACTTTGATGGTAGGTCTGCTGGACATCAATCCAAGGATCAGTCTGGTTATTAAGTTACCTATCACTGGTGGGTTGTGTGAAAAGTATAAAATCCATACCTTCTTCTTACAGGATCTCGCATTGCTAGCTGGCTGCCCAGTTTCTCAGTAGAAGTAATGCACACTACAAACATACTGGGCATCGCTCAGGCCAACAACTCCCAGCTTATGGCCATGGTGAGTTCACGTTTACCATCTGACTAAGCTGTTTTGAACTTCTGAAAGATGAAACACATAGAGTAATTTCAGCGTAGACAATTTCTGACAGTTTTTTGATACTTTATTTGCATAAGGCCACTACTGCTATCAGTTTTTCCTGAGCCTCTCTCCTGGGCTCCTCTCCTGGGCTTGCCGTTCGCTAGTGGATGGTGTCTATGGCTGCGTACTAAGGCCCAAATGCTCTGACCATTATTTCTTTGACAGCATGGTATTTAGGTTCCTGATACATGTCTGATGATGTAGTGACAACCATTTGAACTACTTCAGTGACAGATTCAATTGAACATATTTTAACAAAAAAAGGAGATTAGTGTTACACTTGATATCACGAATAATGTATAACTTGTTGTACTTGTATACTTTATATTGTGTTGGTCTTCATAATATTTTTTAAAAAACAAGCAAAAAAAAGAAAACCTTCCACTGATTCTGTTTTCCGGGTGTACCTTGTGGTTGTCAGGCGCATCAGATTCAGGAGATGTTCCCTCAGGTGCCCTCCTACCTGGTAATGCAGGACCTGCAGTTGACCCGCTCTGTGGAGGTCACCACTGACAACATCCTGGAAGGACGCATCCAGGTCCCTTTCCCAACACAGGTTAGTCAACTGTAGGGTGAAGGTTAAAGGCAGTGGCATTCCCAGTCTTAACGATCTACCCTTATGATAAATGCTGAGTTGTTGTTGTTTTTTTAACACAACACCCTATCGATTTTTCAAAAAAATGTGTCACTGTTTGACTGCATTGCTCTCCATTGATCACTTTCTTAAAAAAAATGGTTTACTTGAACTGCAGATTGCAGCAAACTGTCACATATATGTTTGTGTTTCTTGTTTAGGCCATAGAGCGCGCCCCTATACAGGTGAACCCTGCACCAGATGAAGAGGCAGGGCCTAGTGGAGCAGCTGAGCAGGGCCTCAGTGAGGCAGACAACATGGAGGTCAGAGGAGGTCGTTTCTCTAAGTCGGCTGAAGAGAGGCAGAAGATGTTAAAGCAGAGAAAAGAAGAGATGCTTCAGCAAGCACGAAGGTTGGTACACTGCAGTTTGTAGTTTCCTACTTCATAGTAAGGGATGGTAAGATAATTTTTTAAAATGATTTTTAGTAGAAATGTTATTATGGAGCCCTGGTCTAGGAGCCAGGAAGACAGGACAAATAACATGTTGAAGGTGTTTCTTTACTCAGCAGTTACTGTACGATAGTGAATAGGTTAGAATGATCTAGTCTTAAGTTGAAAGGTGTTTTAGATAATTGTTTGATAATGGTAAGAATTCCTGGTCGTCAGCTTTTTCAGATTTTCTGATACAATGGCTATCTCCCTATGTGTTCTCTGATTCTTTGTAGGAGATATCTGAACAAGAGTCCAGATGATCAGGATGAGGATTTGCCTGGACTGGAAGAGGACATTGTCCCAGATTTGGACTCAAATATCCTGAGGCGTAGAACCATGGCAGCAGCCGCAGAGAGACGCATGCAAACCCAACAAGACCCTTTACCCTGATATAGAGATTGGCTTTAGCAGGAGAGCCGACCGCAGGATCATCCCAAGAAGCACCGACAGAGCTATTTCAACTTTACCCCATTTGGTGTAGTCAGTGGTCATCACCTATTCAAAACTATAAGTAAAAAGCATTGCAGACATGGCCTGTGGACTGTTTTTGGCGGCCTAAAAAACATGAGACTATTGTACTGGGCGTCTGCAACATTGATTCCAGCCTGAGTATTTGGAGCATTATATATATTGACGGGTGCAAATCAAGAAAATGCAAGGTTGCATTGCCCTTTATTCACGTGCCACACATTGCAACCACCAGCTTAAATAGACAGTATCTGTCATGGTTTGAACTGGCTGTCAAAAATGAGCATGCTTTGCATTCAGAAGACGATTACAAAAAGATATTTTACGAAAAGGGTTTGAAGGTGTCATCGCTAGATAAAGCTACTCTATGGGTCTTTGTTTTCCTTTCATCAGATGTTTTTTCACTGGTTTTGCTCATGGCAGAAAGCTCCGTATTTTGGGTGGAGAAACTCATCTGATGTAGCTGTGTGTTATTTCCTGAGTTACAGCTGTGAATTAAGTGTAGGCAAAATAACACCATGTTTTTCTTTCTTACCTCGGTGTAAGAGAATGTCACTTTAGTATTGTTCAGCCTTTCTGTCAAATATGAATGTTTCTATCAAAGTAATGCTGCAAACAAAGTGTTTTTGACCCGCATGGGTTGTTCTGTATTACATGTGTAATATCACCCGTTGCAAACTGTTTGCGTTTTGTTATTTAACAAGAGGGGCAAGTAGGCATGTTAATCTTATTTTTTTTCCAATACTGCTCAATTAAGATGCATAGGCAGCAAAAGAGGATGTATTACATTTTGTACTGGGACACTGGGTGTTATCCTTAATGTCTTTCTTAAATTACCCTCTGCTGATGAGCAGTTCAAATATGTTTTTTTTTCTGTTGAATATGGGACTTTTGATTATTTTTGTCTACCGTTTTATGAGGTATGCTAAAATAGTTAAGTCATAATCAGCTGGGATTGCTGCATTGTATTTTGAAGATGTTTTGACATTCGAGAGGCTTTATCGGTTTTATCAGTGAAGCTCCTGTTCTTCCGGTAGAAATGGTAAAGCCTCTTGCTCATGTTCCAAAACAATACTTGTCAGCAAATCTCGTTGACTTCGACTTAATACTTCTAGATATTCTACAACTGGAATGACAGAGAATCTTTATGAAGTAATTTTTAGGTTGTTTTAA